CCTGGGTAGAAGCAGGAAGAGACTTGTATCTGAAGAAAGCACCCGGCTCCAACACTGTCAGGCAAAACACACAACAAAGGATCTAGCGAAGCACCCACAACAGGAAGAGGGATACTCTGTCTCAAAAGCCTCCCAGACATTTTCCTCAGTCTTTCAGAGAAATAGTTGCTCAATCGTATGGCGTCTTGGCTGTAATTTGAGTTCCAAGTTGGAGCCCAAAATAAAAGAAGCTTCCAAATTCTAGCCTGGGAGTACACCTATTGTTTGGGATTATTGGAAGGATTTAGTTAAGGGTTTTTATTATGCATGGCACATTCATATAAACAATGAAAAAGTAATTTTAATACCTCAAATAGTAAATGCCTTTACCAAAAATCTCATGCAGAAAATCTCAAGGTACAGAATGACCCCAAAATGTTGTCCAATTTTGCCATGAAATAAAATACGTTACATGGATTCCTTAAAAAAAAAAAAACACCCTTCAATATTTAAAAGCTTTTTTTCCCTCCAAAGAAACCCAGGCAGAGTTTGTTTGAATTTTTACAGACTTCATGCCTACAAATTACATTTAATTCCTTCAATTTGCTAATGGACATTTGTTGATTTCCTTTTGGCACTCAACTGAGAAATATGAAACAGTGGATTTTTCTTAAGCAAGATGCCAGTTTAGTCTGCAAAGCAATCTGAATTAATTCAGATTTTTCTCTGAGGTGGGTTCTGAATCGTATCTTATCTGCTGTGCATACTTTTGCTTCTGAGTAATGCTTTATGCCTCCAGTGGCCAGTCAGACATCCACAAGGAGGCGTGGAAAAGGTCCCTTTTCCTTACTATTTGTTTCTCAGAGGAATTTCGGTTCTAATGTAGGAATTTCTATTTATACATTATTAATAGCCACTGCAGACACTCCCTATCATCACATTTTGACACAGTAAATTCCATAACTACATTATGAATTGTGTTGTACGTCTCTATGGGCCATGACTTTCACGCAAGGGGACCTGTGTCCAGTTTGACAGAGATCTCTTCTGGACATCAGCAGTGAACTATATCAGAAGCAATTCAACAAGAGCCTGGTGGCACACAGACTAAAGCACTGTTATTAACAGTTATTAAGACCAGCTGTCTGCAATTACTGCAAGTTCGAATCTCGCCAAGGCTCAAGGTTGACTCAGCCTTCCATCCTTTCTAAGGTAGGTAAATTGAGGACCCAGATTGTGGGGGCAATAAGCTGACTTTGTATAAAAATATACAAAAGGATGAAGGCTATTGCTTAACGCATTGTAAGCCGCCCTGAGTCTCCAGAGAAGGGCGGCATATAAATCAATTTTTTTTTAAAAAAAGTGAATCACTTGTTTCTTTATGAAGCAGCCTTGCAATTTCAGTCTATTGCAGTTATTAGAAATTCTGTTTATATAAAGCACCACACAGAGCAAACAAAGAGTACAGTCACCACGCGCTTTACTGCGCAGCTATTTTGCTGTAACAGAAAACAAGAAACTCTACACAGAACAAAAGAGCACAGAGGTATATACCATAGATCCAAACTTGTAAATACTGCCATCTACTGGCTGAAAACTACTGTAGTTGTTGCATAGAAATACATTCCAACAATTAATTCCAATAGCAGTCAAAGAGTTCTGGGCATCTCCGCAGACTGAAACAGCTGGTAGCTACGTCTGATGCATTGGACACATTGAAGTATACTAACCTGATTTTTTCCTTTACCCAAGACATTGCCAGGAATTAAATCATCATAATAATGATAATTTATTAAATTTTTATGCCATTCAGCTCCAAGTGACTCCAGACGGCTAAAACATTTTAAAAAACCAGAACAATACAGAACACACTAAAATGAGACAAGGGAGTCTGATGTCAGAGGAGCAAAGGAAGGAAGAAAAGGGCACCAAGGGCCAAAGTCTGGCCAAAGAGCAGGTACTCAAGGCCCTTGGAAATCCCTCTGGATTTGGATTTCGGAGGAACCCTCATTCCAGAGGGCATAAAGAAGCAGGCAGACCCTGAGAATTCTTTATTTATTCTGTTGACTTTGGGTAAACGATGTTTGCCCAAAAGAACCAAAACCTCCTATGGAAAAAGGTGGTGGGATTTTCTCTGAAATGCTACTTTTAAAATGCAAGCAGACAACAAATATTACATACTGCAGCTGGCTGGGGAAGTCTGGGAGTTGAAGTTCAGACATCCAGAAATCTTAAAGTAGCCAAGCTGGAAAAACACCGTTTTAAGGTAATGTAAGAAAGTTGAACTTCCACTAATTCACCTGATGTTTAGTTATGAAAGGACTGACATGCAAGGAAAATGGTCAGCAGGCAAGCAAGTCAAGGTAAAATCTATGTTTTTCTTTTTCCCCCAAGAAAAATATTTTTGCAAAGGAAGGCTGGGCGCTCCAGCTAATGCTTGATTCTGCATCAAATCAAACTGTTAGTTCAGGTGGCATCTGGAATCAGCTCCTACCCTGCTTAGCGTTGGCTCTGCTCTCTTAGCCTAGGGTTTCTCCTTCAACATTTAGTATCGTATTTCTCTCCAAAACATCATTTAAGCTGTTAAAATGAGGGAAAATTTGGAAAGAGGGTTTGGGTTATTTTTTTTCCTTTGGATAAATGCAAAAATTCCCCCCACACACACACACCTCCCACCCCCAAAAAGAAGAAAACAACTTTGAGTTGGCTTTGTCTGCCTAAAGAACTAGCAAAACTATGAAATACAATGAGATTTACAAGATTCAGGGAGGGGACCTATTATTTAATCAGCAATGATTCATTTGGGAGGGGAAAAAAACCCCAGAACATATTAAGGGTGGATGAAGAGAAGAAAATTTGCAGAACAAAAACAAGTGAACTTTCTCTTTTTAAAAAGCAAAAATAAAATAAAATAAATAAATCCCAACAGCCTCTAACTTGGAGATGCAGACAATCCACAATTTATCCAAGCATCAAAGCAATACTGAATGTGTGTCTCACTCTGAACGTATATTTATGTTTTAACATTCTAAAATAAGTGTGGGATGAAACACAAGGGGAAAAATGGCCGGTGCTTTTTATTTTGGTTTTTTTATTGCCTCTTTTGGCTTAAAAAGAACCAAGAGAATTATTTGGTAGAGGCAAAGAACCAGGCTAAAATATTATCCTAGGACTGCCGTCCTCCCCCCACCATAGTCCTGAAGTGGGTACATCAGATGCCCAGATGTTGCTCACATGTGGATGAGAATCAGATTCAAGCCAGTCTCTTTGCACGGCGGTTTTTCTGCCCCGTTTGTATCCCAGAAGAGAAACATGGATAAAATCAGGAAAACCCAAAGAACTGAAGATGCAACATATTGAAACTTCCCTGAGTAAATCCAAGGGTTAGAAAAAGCTCACACAAAAGTACAACAGGCATTCATGTGATTGTGCTTGTTTTTCTACTTCACCAAACTGGGAAATAAAACGACACAGATTTGCTCCTGATCTCCTGATACATCAAGTGAGAAATGTAACTTTTAATGGTTCTTTTGGAGCTGGCATCCATTCCCCTGCCTCCTCCTACACTCTGGTTTTTGAGCCAGGGTCCCCGCTGGAGTTAACAGCAGAGGGCAGTCAAGGAGCTTTCGGGAAACCGACGAAAGGAGCATCTTTTCCCATCCATTCAGGCCACACTCAGAAACAGGAGCCCCAGGAGAAAAATTTTGCTCAAAGTCTGACTGGCTCCCATAGGCTGAGTGGCCAGCTGCTCTTAGACGGAAAACACGCCAAACCCAAGATAACATCTCCTATGCTTAAAAGATGCTAAAACTGGTCCTAAATAAGTGAAGTGCTTCATTTGCAATTAGTCTTGAACGAATATGGTTCACAGCGCATTTCTTTGATACACTCAGAGTATAATCAAAATTTTAAATGACCATCTATTACTTCCCTAGATTCATGTATTTCACTAATTTCCCTGCTTTTTCTACAAACATTAATTAGAAATCAGCAAACAACGGACCTCAACAAACTAAATTAGAACAGGAAAAAAAATGAAAAGGTGAAAAAAAGAAAGAAGCGTGGCATTTGATTTCTACATACCAGGTGATTTCCCATGTTTTAATAGGAAACATGGAAAATCGTCTGATATATAGAAATCAAATGCTACCCTTCTTTCTTTTTCATTTTTTCATTTTTTTTCTATTCTAATTTAGTTCTTTGCAGTTCTTAGTATTGTTCTTAAAACTTTTAATTAAACATATTTTGAAACAAATAAATAGAACGTTCTCCTGAGAATCTTCATATATCTGGGATAGAATAGAATAGAATAGAATAGAATATTTTTTATTGGCCAAGTGTGATTGGACACACAAGGAATTTGTCTTGGTGCATATGCTCTCAGTGTACATAAAATGGTTAAGGGATTAAGGGATAAGGGATAAGAAAGGATAGGACTACCTCAAGTGACTACTACCTCAAAAGTGCTATTTATCAGGTGGGTACATAAAGGTTTTTACATAGTCCTGTATTGCCATAACTCATGCTCATTACTATATCTTTTAAAAATGCCAGCCATTATTTACTCTGCTTCTATAGCAATGCATGCCACCAAGAGGTCACATTTAGTGGCTTTATTTAAAAAAAAAAATATTGTGAAGATGAGGTAAGAACACAAGGAAATTGCAAGGGGTGAGAAATGCGTGCTTGTGTTTTAACATTTGACAAAGTAGAATATTCCCTGGATGAGATGCTGGCGGCCCTGGAGATGAGCTCCATTTATTTCCCCCAGGAAATCAGAGAAAAAGCAGAAGAGCAGAGAGACACAGTCAGGAAACAGGCAGTCTGATCAAGGCAATCTCAAAGACCGGAAGAATTTAAAACAAAAAAACAAAAAAACAGAACCAAGTTGTCAAGTTGAGCGAGGAACAAAAGCAGAATCTTAAAATATTCTGGAAGGAAATTAGCATCCATTCAAGCGAACCCAATATCGGAAGAGTTTTCAGCAAGGGGTCAATATGGGGGGGGGGAGAAATACTTACTGTGCCAGGCCTAGGATAGGGAATTCGCCCATCGTACTGAACCCAGCGGTGGTCCACACTTTCTTTGTGGGCGTAATAGCCGCTGAAGACTGCTCGGATGTCGGCCATGCTGTAGACACAAACCGCTGAGCCCTTGAACACAGAACTGGGAAGGACACAGGCGTGTCATTAATCAAGTTCAACAGAGGCCTGAAAGCCCTCCTCACTTTAAACACAGCTGACATACGATGTGTGTCATTTTTATCTTTAATTTGCTAAAAAGTCGCTCTCCTCCCTGCAAACCCACTCCGTTCTAAACTGATGATGTTACCTAGTTGGGTAATGAAACGTCTTCAAGTAAACAACCAAGCCTCACAGAGCACCAAGGATCCCCCATGTCAACCCTGAGCTACAAATATTCTCCTTTAAACCACCAATTTTCTGTCCTTCCCCTCCTTCTAGAGCTCTTGTGAAAGGTAAAAAAATATTTATTGTGATTCAATCAACAGCCTAATATTTAGCATAATCCATCAAGGGAACTTTAAAGTTTCTTATATAGATTTGGATGGAGAGTACCTGGTGGTTGTGAAAACGCCATAGACCACGGGGTTCGTTTCGTCTCTCGTGGAAAGCAAGAATATGTCTTCTGCAACAGATAACCTTATTTTAGAGCTCAGATTGTATGCACTTTATTATATATCATGCCATCTGATGTTAGTATGTCAGAAAAAAAGCAGGCAGGCACAAGACACACATATACAAGATCCATATTTTAGTTTACATGATATTGTTTATTCACAGAGTGAAACTACATCTCTGTTTAAAATCACTAGATCACTTCAGTGGTAACTACCCCAGAAATTGATAATTATCAATGCTTTGCACATGGTAAAAAAATGTTTGTCTGCCCAAACTCTAAAAGTGCTAATTTTTTTTAATGTTTAAAGATACAATAGACAAAAGTATGAAATTTCAAAGAGGTAAGATAATTTAAACTTCCAGCATTTTAACTGTTGTGCTCTGAAATGATATTTTGTCATTCATCTTTACTTTAATCTGTCTGAAACTGCCTAGCTGTTTCTAACCCTTAACATAGAAAAAAAATGAAGAGTTATGTATCATTTTTCTTCATATTCTTTTTTTCCTCTGAAAGTCTTATCTGATTTTCTACTCTTAAGTCAAATAAAACACAACACGCGTTCATAAGAAGCAATCTAAAGTATACTTTCCATTATTATTTTGCAGTACAAAGTCAAGCCTATGTTTCATTTGTCGAGATCAAGAATGTGGAAAGGAATTCAAGAATTCTTGATCGGTATTCTGTTTTAAAAATCTGTACTCTTCATCAGCAACTTTATTTTGGAAGCTACCACGGTAATAAAAATTAAAACAATTCTTGGTACTTTTCCTATTAATAAAGAAATGTTCATTGTACATTCATTTTTCGGTCCAGATAAGCAGTCCGATACTCAACTAGAAAAAGCTTTCAGGTAAGCTCTATTCAAGGAGATTATTCTATGAACTCTATGTTTCATCCTTTTCCCCCCAAAGCATGTAAATATATACATTCTCTTCCAAGGCATCGGGTTTTCCTAAATTCACACTGCTGGCATCACTGAACTCCACAACTCCATGACTGAGGAAAAGAATCAGCTACTACCAAAATTCACTTACGGAGTTCATCAAAATGTGTATCGGCTCCTTCTGGACCTGGGATGGAGCAAACCAGTCTGGCTTTCAGGAATGTTGTCCACTTGTTGATCAGGCTGCGTTGACCTCCAATGTCATTCTAAGCAATGAGAATAGCAATTTTAACTGTTGTTGTTTTTTTAAGTTGCTGGTTAATAGGAAGACTTAAGTCGTGTAAAGAGAGGAGCAAATCTGGAAATGGTTATCCAGCCCATCTAAAATTTACAGTGAAGGCGACTCCCCAGCCTCCACAGCAGTTCTCATCCTCAGAAATTTTTAGATCTGTGGATTTCAACTCCCAGAATTCCCTACGCAGGTATGCTGGGTGGGGAATTCTGGGAGTTGAAGTCCATACATCTTAATGTTGCTAAAATTGAGAAACATTGCAGTCAGTTCTACGGTTGGACCAGCTTTTCCTGATGTCCAACCAAAATCTTCCTTGGAATTTAAAGTCATCATTTCTTGCCTTATCTCCTCAACTATTCTGCCCCATCTTCTACATGTGGTGGTGTCACACTAGTTTAGCAATTTTCCAATTCCAGAAAACAAAAATCAACAAGAGATAATGATTTTATTTCTTGGCATGTTGTCCTCAAAATTCAGCAATATGATTTTTAGGGGGAATTACCCAAAAAGGATTTGGAGTTGTTATTGAAAGGCCAGTGTTCATGAGGGCTTACAAATAAACATGCCCAGTTCAGGAACTATGGATTTTTAGATGTTACTGGACTACTCAGGAACATCTGGTTATGTTGACATGAAGGTGAAACTTGGGAGCATCTGGAAAGCTCTCCACTGGTGATGCTATAATCCATATAAATCTGGGCACAGTTATTCTTGGCAACTCAGCAGCTCTTATCTCTTCACCTAGTCTTAAGAACAGCACATTAGTAATGAAGAGTCAACTGGGCTATTACATTCCCATGTTCATTTTTTCAACAACTTCCTCCCCTTTTTAAAACTGCATTCATGCTGCGGGCGGTTGATGAAAATCCAAAAGTCCTGACTGAGCCCACTAGGAATGCACGGATATCAATTGGCTGATGAAGCGATAAACTTCCTTTGTGCACCTTTCATAAAATGAAAGAAGTCATTCCTTTAGCTGAGACAGGGGAGCCCAGGATTTCTATTTACTCCCCTTCTGTAACTGGATCAATTATGACCACAATGGACTTGTTAGCCTTTTAGGCCTCAAAGTCTTGCCATCTGCTTTGCTGCATTTCTGGAACCTTCTTTTCACTACAAATAACCATTTTATTAGCGCCCACCGCTTATTAAACTCTTACCCTGTAACAGAATACTTCGCCTTGAAGTGCCTTGCCTGGCAGTACAAGGAAATAGCTATAAAATCTCTGTTTATCTTTGCACTTGGATCTTAGAAACCTACATAAAGATTGTCAAATGGGAGGTAGATCATTTACCTTGAGAGATTGTTTACAGTCAATGGATAATCATATAGAAAACTGGAGCCTTCTCTCAAACCAAGAAGAGACTAAGAGGCAACCTAGGATAATTATACCTCTGAGTCAGCTCTCCTGGTGATACATAACAAAGGCTCCTGTGGAACTTTTTAAGATTAAACAAAATTTGATGAACCAAACTCCAGGATTTTGCTGCAACAAGTAAAATGGTTATCATTCTAGATCTGTTCGGTCTTCTGTTTCAATAGAAGACCTCTCAAAAGTATTGTTCTAGAAAGACATGTAATTACATTGTGGACCACCAAGTATCAACTACATAATCTCTTTGCTTGTGTTATAAATTAGCAGAAAACAGCTGCAGGAAATCTTGCTAACTTCCTACAGAAAATATGTTTCAAGGCTCTTTTTTTATAGATTTATTTAATGTTTCGTATGCTTTATATTCACCAAAAACCTCAGTGACATCTAGAAGCAGATTCCTGTAAAAAGCACAGCTCAAGTCTGGAATCCAACATTTCTTATGCTTTATTGACAGCACTGTATTGCATGCTTTTCTTTTTTAACAAGCAATTATTTTCCCCTTTGGGAAAGTCTGAATAACAAATATATTTGTGCACAAAGAAAGAAAGGAGACATTCAAAGATAAGTCACTGCTCGTGATCGCAGGCTTTACCATTTTCCTGCTGCAGGACGATATGCTAGCAATACAAAAGCCTTCAGCTCTTTGTACCCCATCAACAGTATTACTCATTATTATTTTATTCTTTTTCATTGACCCTTTGTTATTCTTTTCCCCCTGTGCAAGTGAAAGGTGGCATACATAGGAAATTCTCACTTATTTTATCCTACAAAAAGAACCAGGTGAAGTTATTGGGTTAACTGGCACAGAGCCCAGGGCCAACGAGGGGCTGAATCGGAATCCTTCTAGAATTTAAACACTTTCCTATATTATATCAAAGAAATCACAGATCACGTGATGTGTGATTTCTTGGCTATAATGTAGTAGAGTGTTTAAATTGTAGAAGGATTCAGATTCAGCCCCTCGACTATGCAAAGGGATCTGTGCATATCTGTGCACCACAATGGAAACTGGATCCCACAGAAACATTTAACTTGATTGGAGCAGGAACCAACAGCAATGATAATGTCAGACAGATCAGCCAGTTAAAGACATTGTTTCTAGCCAAAGAGATTTACGTGACTAATTTTCCAAACTTGGGAGCCCTCTTTCAGCCTTGTCCTTTGATATTAATGGTGAACCCCTGAACTACAAATATTCTCCTTTATTGAAACCGAAGAGTGCCGTAACAATTTATAACAGTAACCATGATAAACGGGTATCATCTGAAAAAAACTCAGTTCACCTCTGACCATCTTTGGATAGGAATTTCAAGCTCTTGCTTGGAAACACTATAAACAATGATTAATTCATCAAAGCCAAAAATGTTGCTGAGGACCTATAAAAGCATTGGTGCATTTAAAGTCAACCGTTTTATATGGCTGATCAAATGAAAGCCTCTTTTTGTATTCTTTCATCGTGGACTTACCAAATCCACTCAGTATATTTCAAATACTGCAACCTATCCTTTTATGGATTTTATTTATTTTTATTGGTATCCCCGATTAAGTTAGGTATGCAGAGCAAAGTTGAGGGATATTTATGTCGCATTTTTTTTTCTTTTTCTTTTGATTTCCACTGACGTCCTGCTTCTTCTGCCTGCCAGGACCACCCTATGATTGATGTTCCTCAGATGCCTGGCCACAGGCACTAATTAATAAGCAACTTCCCCAAACTCAGCTTGTAATCTGGGCAAACTCACACAGCTGCTCAGCGTAATTACGCCTTTTAAAGTGTATTTGCATTTTGCCCCATGTCCAACCTTAACTCATGTCCAAAAGTTCTGGTTTAGGCTGCTTTTTTTCTGGATACACGTCATCTTTATTTATAGCCAGATTTAGCTTGCTGCAAGCTGCAGATGTGCTCTTAAATTTTATTTTGACATCTTTCTTTGCTTTTCCTTGTTTATGATTTGAAAAGCGGACATCCTATATTCTGCATAATACTCTTTTTGTTAAATCTAGTCAAGCAGAGTCGTTTTGTTATTGGCAGTGTTGGTGGTTTGGTTTGAGGTGGGGTTTTTTTGCCATCCTGCAAAAGTAGCGAGAATAGAAGCATTTTTCTCTTTCTGGTTATGTGCAAATGGAGACAATGCATTTCATGTGCTGGACACTTCTACCCGGGCATCTGTATCTTTTAGAAATTTGCTTAGGTCTTGCTAAAATTTCTCTACCACAAATACAAAGAAATATGGGAAATGTTCAATCAGATGAAGCATTCTTGGGAAAATCAAATATCTGTGCATCTTCTAAGCCTGCAAACACATTTCAAATACGAAGCTATCTGTTTTTCTTAGGTCTGCCACACTTTCCATGAGAAGGTCATCCACACCCATTTTCTCCTTCTTCCTCTTTCCTTCAAGAGAAACCAGATGGTTCTTGAGACCTTAGAAGGTAAAAGCACGGAGGTGATAACTGTTTGCATTCAGAAGCTCATCTCTAAATCTACAGTTGAAGGTTAGCCCGGGCCGTCAAAACACACCCCAGGAGAAGACAGTGGCAGCCACTGTTGCCAAGAACACTGCATGGACATGTCTGTGAAATCCTCAGCCTGGCTTAAAAGAAGCTTTGTGAGACCAAATGTGATGGATGCTCAGTTGATGAGTGAGCAATGAAGGCAGACATGGATAAATGAAAGGAGAGATTAAACGTGTTGTGAAACGAAGCCTACATTTCATCTAGGTAAATAACATCTTAGATCATGAAAATAAGAATGTATACATGGAGCAAAGGTATGACAGCTACATACTACTGGATATAATTCATCCGCACAATTTCTAGCCAAAAGAGCAAATGTTTTTCCCGAGTGCCCTCGAGATGAGTTTAAGGGCTGCAGTATAAATGGCATAACTCTTCCATGAGTCACAGTAGTTAATCATACATAATTCCCTTGCCAAATGAACCCAATCAGGCAAGTATCTATCAGTTTGATAAACAGCGCAAGAGCCAGAGGGACCAACAGATATGCATTTGTATCCATTGGAGCATATTATTTTTTAAATAAAAGTCTTAAATGTTCATGACATGAAAATACTAAAACTTTGTTGGAGGGTGGGGAGATAAATGAGAGAGAGGGTTGGGAGGAGTGCGAGCTAAAAAGCCAGTTTTAGTTTCAAACAGTTTATGCATCCAAGAGATGGAAATTAGGATTAGGGAAAAATGTCTACGGAGATTCTCAGTCATCCAGGTCGCGGTTGTCCCAAAGGTGCTTTTTCTCAGAGCTGAAGAAGCTTCTTGGATGAGAAGCGAAACAACTTCAAAGAAAAACCAGAAAGTACAGTTGTTTCTTGAAAAAAGCACCTTTGGGATGATTAAGGAAAAAGTGCACTGCAAAATTTTAAATAAAGTTTGGGGATATCATAGGAAAGAGGGAAGACTCTTCAAAAGCTGAGGAAATCACCTGTATTTTTTGGCCCATTGGGGTGTTCCTCAGAGTAGGGGGTCTCCTCCCCCCCTCTGGTTCATTGAAAAATTATCTTCTGTGAAACCGGTCCCTGTGCCACAAAAGGATGGGGGACTGCTGGCTGCCTCAGAGGACAACGAAGCCAATCCCGTAGTTCAGTTAGAGCAGAGGTGGGGAACTGTGGTCCCTTTATGACTTGTGGACTTCAACTCCCAGAATCCCTGAGCTGCCATGCTGGCTCTGGAATTCTGGGGGTTGAAGTCCACGGGTCATAAAAGGGCCATAGTTCCCCACCCCTGAGAGTTAGAGGAATTGCTACCCTGCTTGGAGCAGATGGCTTTCCATCTTTGAAGACCCTCAATGAAGGGTGACACAACCACTTTATCCGACACCTGCTACGTTGGTTCTAAAACTCTTTATCACCTGGATTCTACTATCTAACCTGTATCTATTTCCTTCTAACTTCGTCTTCCTTCTAGTCTTCTACTATCTAACCCAAATCTACTTCCTTTTAATATCAACCTTGATTCTTTGTTCTTTGAGATAGCACAGAGTAAGTTTATTCCCTCCTCTAAATCACAATTCTTTAGATATATGAAAATTGCCTTTCTTTCTGCCTGCTGAACACACCCGGTTCAACTGATCTTCTCCTCCAAATTGGGAACCAAACCTTTGGGAAGGAATGATTTATTATTTATTTAATTATTGTTCCTTCAAAAATCAATGCTGTCTCAGAAATCCATTGAGGAGTAGTTCAGGGCTGACCTGAGCTTGTTTCATGACCCAAACTAGATGACATCATCAATACGCGAGATATTTAGCAATGATGATATTCCCTACTTTGGGTCCTGTGCAAGAAAACCACCCAACTCAGAGAGCACCAAGGACCCCTCATTATCTCAGAAATCTACCCCCAAGCCCTTAAGGAGACTGATGATATCAGAGGAGGCCTCACAAATCAAGGCGCTCTTGAAATCTGGAGAGAATTCTTCCTGGGAATTCTGGCAGAAATAATCTCAGCACTTCTGGAGGTCACAAAAAATGAAGATAGTCAGTGAAAAGCTCAGTAAAAAAACCTAGAAATTAAGTAAGAATTTATCCGTGCAATATTTGAGACAAAACAAAGGCATTGTCTCGCATTGTCTGTGACTTTATTATCAAGGTCATTATCATTAGAAGGCCAGCAAAAAGGACACTTCAGGGTTAGATTAAAAGGAAACAAGAACCTCAGCTCCCATTAAGGTTACTTTTATTTGTGGAAAAAAGTAGAATTTAAAATGAGAATATTTAAGCAGATTTGTTGGGTTGTTGTTGTTTTTTTATCTCAAATTTACGTAGACACTGGGCGGAATGGCCATCAGAATAATGAAACGAAAATGTGTCATGAGCTAATAATCTAATATTTAATTATTTCAGAATTAAATAGCACCTTATGATACAATGTATGCATATTTGCCATTTATATACCTGAGCCTTTTGCACAGAAAACTCCATGGGTTTTGAAATTTGCAAGCTTATATATTTAAATAAAATGCAAAAACAAAGGTTTAAACTGCATTTCACTTGATATTAGTGGGAACCTTCCAGTGTTTCCCAAGCAAAACAAAAAATGTCAGCTACTGCAGATAAACGGCTGATAAGACTACTCCTTTTTTTTTTAAAGCAAAATATCAAAAATGCCATTTGTCATGACAAATTATGCATTTCAGCCTGATTGTGAACACTGAAAGCATTTCCTCTCAATTTATAACACTCTCCCCCTGGTGATATGCCGAATGAAAAATGACGTAAACCCAATTTAGGGTTTGTGTGTAAGTGCATGGAATTTCTCTCTCTCTCTCTCTCTCTCTCTCTCTCTCTCTCTCTCTCTCTCTCTCTCTCTCTCTGTGTGTGTGTGTGTGTGTGTGTGTGTGTGAAATACACATTAAAACGGAAATAGGGAACAGTAGAAAACTTAGAAACCCGAAAGGAAGAAAAAGCAAGGAAGCACAAACAGAAATCTGGAGCCTCAGACTGGTTGGGGAGGATAAATACATTGGCAAAAGTTTTATCTGAAAGGCAGCATCCTTTGAACCCAGGACCAGGAGCAACGGATGGAAACGAATCAAAGGAGACTCTCTGCAGCTCAGTGGCTGGTCATTAAACTGGCTGCTATTTAATTTCATTATCAGCTACGAAAATACTTCAGGGCCCCAAATACAACCAGGCTTATCACACTAAGAGTGCAGGACCAGCTGGAGGGATTCTAGACCTTATTATTAACCCATAGGATGATGTGTAGGCTAGACGCCACTTAAGGGGAAATTATCCCCTCCCTGGGGGCGATTTATTGAAGAAACAGCAGGATGGGTTTATTTTACAAAATCCGCATTGCTCACCTGACAGACGCGGCCGACGTAGGAAAGAATGGCTCTCTCGGAGGTGCTGCTCTCTTGGGAAACTTCTCGGAAAAAGAAATAGATTTTGTCATCGTCTGGATTATAGGTGTCTGGGATAGGAAAGATTCCAATGAACTTTGCTCCTAAGAGAAATTAAAAAACAATAGGAACAAGGGTAATACCATTTCATTGTATTTTCTCATGCTTTAAGCCCATCGAGACGTTGGCAAAAGAGTTTCTTCACTTCCTCTTCTTCCTAACGGATTTTTTTCTCTAGAATTTAGCACTCATAAGGTAGTCGACTTACAAACATTTGTTTAGCCACCATTTGAAGTTACATCGGTAGTGAAAAAAGGGACTGATGACCGGCCTCCATACCTATGACCATTGCATAACCTACAGTCATGTGATCAAAATCTGAGCAACCTTACTTTCATGTCTTACTTTAAGATTATATATGAGCAACAGCAATAGCACTTAGACTTATCTACTGCTTCACAGTGCTCTCTCTGAACGGTTTACGGAGTCGGCCTCTCGCCTCCAACAATCTGGGTCCTCCTTTTACCGACCTCGGAAGGACGGAAGGCTGAGTCAACCTTGAGCCAGTCAGGATCGAACTGCTGGCAGTTGGCAGCGAGTCAGCCTGCAATACTGCATTCTCACCACTCAACCACCATAGTTCTAAAACATTATTTTAATATTGAAAATCAGGTATGATTCCCAGTACTGCCAGCCTAACAAAATGGCAGGAATCCGAGGATGACAGGGACATAGAATTATTTGTCCTACAAATAATTCGTTATAGCTTTGCTCAATGTCTATGGAGATTCTCAGTCATCCAGGTCATGGTTGTCCCAAACTATTTACTAAGACTGTCTTACTATTACTCTTCTCATCCTTCCTATTACCTATATCCCTTTCTACTTATGACTATAAATTCATCGCTTGTATCTTTATTATTTACATTGTTTTATTTAGTTTCCTAGTATGATTTTGATTGCTTATTTAGTATCCTATGACTATCACTAAGTGTTGTATCTTATGGTTCTTGATGAATGTATTTTTTTGTGTACACTGAGAGTTTATGCACCGAAGAGAAATCCCTTGTGTGTCCAATCACATTTGGCCAATAAAGAATTCTTATTCTATTCTACTTAATTCTTATTCAAAGGTGCTTTTTTCAAGAGGCAACTGGACTTTCAGGTTTTTCGTTTGAAGACATTTCGCTTCTCATCCAAGGAGCTTCTTCAGCTCCTTGGTGGGGAATGGAAGGATTTATAATCCTTGCAGACAGCTGGACATTTGCATCCTTTTAGAGGGTCGTTAAGGTCACCTGGAGACTTTGCTCATTCCCTCTACTTCCCCTAAATGAATACACAACCTAAAATAAATCTAAACCTGAGATTCTACTGGTGCTGCTACACATATATGTCTTAACATGCAGCTGTAGGTGCTCTTAACGTGCAACTGAACGGGCTCTGAACATTGGGATCTGCCAAGATATCTGCAGAAACCGTCTTGAATATTGCACGAAGAGTCCTCTGTCTACAGATCTGTTCCTGACCCCATCAAGTAAAACGTGTCCTGAAGCAACAGGCTCCACAGCCCCCTGTGAAGCCTCTTACCGTTCAACCAGTAGTGTTCGGACATATCCGTCCTGATGCAGTGCTGGTCTTGCGATGCGCCCAGAGATCGGGTGAGCGCCGTGTCCTTGCCAAGGAAGTCGGAGGCTGTTCCAGAGTAAAGGTAGCCATCTGCAAACAGGAGGCAGATAGGGAAAACAATATTATTTAAGACCACAGAGCAGAGATACCGGCCTTGAAACCTGTTTTCCCAGAGGAGCCCATCTTGGTCCTTAATTGTCAATCGCGGAAGTGTTTTGTGCTTTTCCAAAACAACCGGCCTTCTCGCTATTTCCCCAGGGAGATGGGAATTTGCTTTCTTTTCAGAGAAAAATCACATTGTGTGGGGTTTTTTCCCCCTAAGCAATTAATCATTTACTGTACTTAGTATTTTGCTCAATAAATAGTTTCTGTGCTGCTCACTTCATAACTTTGTCGCTGGGATAGTGCAGCCTTTTTATAGTGTTATATACATGGTAACCTAACATTCTTCGTTCATGAATAATGATCAATACAGCTCAAAAGATACATAAAACTTTTGATTCATGAACACTGGAAAAACTGTTCCAGCATTTGGGATTCAGAAAACGCAGCCCAGCCAACTGTCTCCGGAAAGTTCACAGCCTGCCTCTTAAGGTTTCAGAAGTAGAACAGCTCCATATTTGGAATTTTTATCGGCTACTTTCAGTCAATATGAAGAAAAGGGCCATCCAGAGGTGTCAGATTCTCAGTCATTCTGTTTGTGGTTGTCCCAAAGGTGCTTTTTCCAAAGGCAACTGGACTTTATTTTTCCCTGAAGACGTTTTGCTTCTCCTCCAAGAAGCTTCTTCAGTTCTGAATGTTCAGAAGTATTCAGTTCTTCTTCATTCAGAACTGAAGAAGCTTCTTGGAGGAGAAGCAAAACGTCTTCAAGAAAAAAAAGAAACCCCAGTTTCCTTTGGAAAAAGCACCTTTGGGACATCCAGAGGTGTAGATAAAGTAGGATTAAGATTGTGCCTATGATCACACAACCACATCATGGTTAAAGCATCAGACTAGAAATCAGGCGACTGTGAGTTCTAGTCCTGCCTTAGGCACAAAGCCAGACAGGTAACCTTGGGCCAGTCACTTTCTCTCAGACCTAGGAAGGAGGCAAGGGCAAACCACTTCGGAAAAAAACTTGCCAAAAAACCTGCAGGGACTTGTCACCAGGAGTCAGTTGTGCACGCAGACACAAACGCACTAAAAAGAGCAAAATGGCAGAAATGTCTCTCCCCAATACTATAAAAGATGACTGGGTGCTTGGAAGCCCCATTAAAAGAGGCTTCTTTTTGATCTTGGAGTCCAGACAGAGTGAGGAAGGCCCTCCTTCAGATACCCCTTCCTCAGTTCTATACCTATTGAAATATCATACGCATGCAACGATTTTGTCCATCTGCTCTTCTGCAGTCATCTAATGGTAAAACAAGCCATTTTTATCCAGGATAAATTTCCAAAATTAATGCCATAATGATTCAGTCTGAGTAAATAAGTTAAGAGGAAGAGAAACTGCGCTTGGAGGGAGTAACCAAGAACCTCAGTGAGAGAGAGGTGGAAAATTTACAAACAAAAATGCACAAAAGCCTTCCCAGAAAGGAGAGAAGGAAGGAATATTTGCAACAAAAGAAGTGATAGAGAGATAGAGTCCACACTGTGGAGGTAAACTAGACCTGGGTTTATTTTCCTTGTCTCCTGTTTTTATTTCTCCCCACTTATTACTTCCTGCTCTTTTTTCCCCCTCTGCTTCTTGCATATTGTTGCTTACCCTAAAGAAACACCACAATGGGTATGGACGTCTTCACGTGCCTTGTGGATGCTATGGTATCAACCTTCTCCAAACTGATCTCCTGCAGATTTTGGGATGACAGTTTGGAGAGCAACCAAAATATGTGGAGGGCATCAGATCAGGCTGGGTGTTCAGAGGCATTCGTGCAACTTATGTTTTGAAGCATCAAGTGGGAGTTTTAGTTTCTCAGACTTTCTTAACATGCTTTATCTTTTTTCTATTGGTGGCTGTGGATGATAGGAAGGAAGAAGAAAGGTAGAACATCAGGATCCAGAAGAAGCTACTTTATTATTTTCTTTCTTTTTCTTTCTTTCTTTCTTTCTTTTTCTTTCTTTCTTTCTTTCTTTTTCTGTCTCTCTCTTCTCTCTCTCTTTTCTCCCTTTCTCTTTTCCCCTCTCTTCTCTCTTTCTCTCTCTCTTTCTTGCAATAACCAAAAAGACATTCTGACAGGTAAAAATCCGTAATGAAGAATGAATAATCTAATGAAAGTCTGCCTATTGACAGGCAGACTAAATGACGGATAAGTCAAAGGGCTAAAAGGAGCAACCCTCCCCTGCTTTAGCCTTTGATGACAAGGTCCTTTCAACACCAGCCTTCTTCTTTGTTCTCCTGCAGGTCTGTTATTCTGCGTAGACCCCTTGGGAAAAGCTGGTGATTAAAAAGTAAACGTCAAATAGGGAAAAAGCCTCCAAAGTGCTGCATGTGACATGTAAGAGTCAGCTTTTAAAAAAACAGAATCGGCTGAAGGGAGGATTCATAGGATATGGTTTAATTTGGCATCATTCAATTATTGTTTGTGCCTTTTCAAGAGTCGCTCTCACAGCAAACTTCCACATGGGAAGAAATTGTGAAAGTTCCCCAGAAAAGTGAAAAGTTTTTGAAAGAGGGATTTGTTTTTTTTTCCTCTGACACTTCTGTGGTCTGTCTGTCCACATATAAAAAACGGAAGATTAAAGGCTTGGTTTATATTTGACCAGGGCTGCACGGAGTCTACTTTAAGCTGCACCAGCTCTGACTGTGGTGGAAAGTTCCCCTCAGCTTTGGTGGAAAGCATGAGAGGTTCCCAAGCCAGATGTTTGTGGTGATGTACCAAAAGCTTCGCAGGCCACAAGAGGAACAGCCTACCGTCTTAAAAACAGCTCATTATAGGACCGAGTGTGGAGGCCTTTAATTTGTGTTGGCCCCGGATAAGGTGTGTCGAGGTCAAGCTAAAGTCACAAACAACCTATATCTGCATTACAATATAGAATGGGCATTATCCAGTCCAGATCTCCACGGCTTCTTGAATTAAAACCGGAGTTTTCAATTGAGTTAGAAAGGAGCTCTGAATTGGAGAGGCATAGTGAGAAGACATTGATTTCCTTGTAAGCTGCTTCTTCTTCTTCTTCTTCTTCTTCTTCTTCTTCTTCTTCTTCTTCTTCTTCTTCTTCTTCTTCTTCTTCTTCTTCTTTCTTCTTCTTCTCCTTCTCCTTCTCCTTCTCCTTCTCCTTCTCCTTCTCCTTCTCCTTCTCCTCCTCCTCCTCCTCCTCCTCCTCCTAACAATTCAGGTTCTTGCTCTTCTGGTGGCTTCAACCACTGTTAATTGATATTGTTATAGTGATCTAATTAGATCTGTACTGATGTAATGCACTGCCACAAATTCAGATTCCTTGTTTTGGCCAGGCAATCCATAAGTGCCAACTGTGTCCCAAATATGGAAAAAGAGGCTAATGTTACATCTACAGCCCATTCTGAAGAGGAATTTGGGGTCCTTTCAGAGGGCGAGTATAAAAACCAGGATCTATTGATTATGATTTGCAAATCATCAGTATTGTGGCCAGCGTCAACGAGAAGCTAGAGCCCAATGGCTAGTAACCTAAGGGGCAAATTGTGTCTCTCTAACAGACACGGTGTCCTAACTACAAAATCATCAGCCTTTAGAGTCCTCATAAAATCCTTAATGCTTCCTTAAACGGTTATCTAAGTATCCGGTTGGCTAGCATTGAATTAATGATATCTATAGCTAGGCCTCCACAATGCAAATTAAATTGCAATATATAAATAGATCTGGTTGCTTCTGACAAGCTTTTTATGTGATTTTGCTTACCAAATGCTGCTATAATCTGTTCTGCTGTGAGGAAATATATTACTATATGACCATCTGGGGTGCAGCTTGCAAGATACGATAAGAATTCAATTCCATCCCGTGAAGCATCAATTTCCTCTGCTTTCTCCATGCATGATTTAGTTTTGAAGCTTTATTAGTGGATTTCTAACAGTTTTGAGAGCAGGGAAAAGTGATTAGGCTTAATTGGCCAAGACTCATTCTCAGATAAGGGGATTTTCAGTTCAGTTTTCCAAATCTCTAGTATTAGACGCCTACTTTAGGAAGTAAGTGAATCAGAATTCAACTTTAGAGATTCAGCCTTGGTTATCTTAAGCGCCTAGTAATTCAACTCTTAAAAATGTCATCTGCCCTGTGACATTTCCAAGGAGGACTAGATATGTTGAGAAATTTACTATCCACTGAAATCTCCGTCTTCAAGAAAAGAAGACTAGAGATTCTCCCAATAACCATTAAAAAAAATCTTTTACTACCACTTTGAAAATGTAAAGCGTTTCAAGACAGACAATCCCTACTGTTTTGGGTTCTTTATTTTTTATTTTTTAAATAATGGATGACTTAGACCTTAACAAGGTCAGGACTCGGGATTATCCACCTCATTATCTGAGAATAAAGAACGAATATTTATCATATTCTCTTTTTGAACTGTGACCAATCCTTCAAAGAAACAGACTATAACATCTCTTCTGCCATATATTAAACAGGGGGAAAAAAAAAAGGTCAGGTACATTCTTCTTATCTTACAACAAGACATTATAACTTGATGGACAAGTTAAATGAAACCGGGCCAAAAAAAAAGTAGAAAAGAGGCAGCGTGTCAAAGGAAATTCTCGGTCGTGTTGAAGTGAAGAGATTAGTCTAGCATTCCAGGATGGCAGTTACCTGACTCCACCAAATATGATTCTGGGACAGGAAGAAGACAGAGTGATATTGTATTTTGACAGGGTGCTTTAGGCTAGGATTTTAGCAATACAATAAGGGCAGGATTTTCTTCCACATGAAATGCACTTAGCACGGAGAACTCGGAGGTCACTTGGGAAGCCATGTACAAATACAGCCTACATCAAAGCTAGGATTTGGCCAAAGAGACCCCAGACTTGCATTTTTTCCCCCTGCAAACTTCTCTGATTTGCATGGGGATATCTGCATTTCTCTGAATTTTGCGGTGTAGTTCTCTGATTAAAAAAAACAAACACACCGACATTCATACATGGGGGAAGAGCCCAGACAAAAATGCCTAGATTGGAAAATGTAGACAAATTGGTGTTGAAACCCAAGCCATAGTAGATATTCAGACAGGCTTTTAAGAAGTTAAAACAGACACACAAAAAGGAGGCAAAACTAACACTCCATGGGAAATGGAAAGATTCAGCCATTCCTAATGGAAGGGTTGGGTAAATTCATCTCGTATTATTTAAGCCCAATGAATTTGCAAGCAGATCTCCGAATGTTGATTCTTTCCAAATCTTATAGTCTAAGATCCCTTTCCCTGGAGTTGCTCAGAAGCTCACCTACAACCCTGTGGTTGAAAAAGCTTTGCTTCATCATTGATCAACGACGGTGTTCTTCAGAAAGTGACTTTAAGGCTAGAATGAAGGCCAGTTTTAGTATTTATGCCCTCACAATCCAATTCTTTATATTAAATTCTTGTAGAACAAAATGCATCAATTTCACTTCTGTTGCTCTGTTTAAGCAACAGATTTATGACACTTCAATTGTGCTCATCTCTGAACTTGAATGCTGCCCTTTTCCTAGGCCTACAGAAGGTTTGTGCACATGAATAATCTTACTCAACCGTTTATAACAATCTCCTTAAAATAGAGTTTATTTTAAAACAATATTTGTTTATATGCAATCTAGAGTGTCAGGTGGAAATATAATTTAAACATCTTATCCTTTGCAGCAGAAGCTAAGAGCTCCTCTTTCTCTCCTCCAAGTCCTTAGAGATAAGCACAAATTGTTTCCTGCTTTCTGTTCTATGCCTGGTTATTGGTTTGTTAATTGGTGAGGTTTATGCCCTGATTTTTTAGGGGCTCAAGATGGCTTCAGTGATAGAAATTGGCAGGCAGAGCATAGCGAGATGTATCTTCCAAGAGAATCTAAGAGATCAGCCAAGCAGGTGTTTTTGCAAGCTGCCCTACAAACCAGAAAAATCTACTGAGCTTGCAAATGTTTTTTAGCTATGAAAAGCATCTGTTCTTCTGATTATTTTTATATGCAGTGCAATGCAGTACAATGAGTTTGCTGGACAAAGCTTCTCAGGAATATGAATTACAAAACACATCTGTGTGGCTGTACCAGGAAACCCTGGCCCTACGCCAAAGTTTTCACTTAATCATAACTAAATATGATTTTACTGCAGTGAAATGATATTGATGTTTTATTGATTACAATCTGTAGATCCACTTTAGTTCCAGTTTTGCAATGCTTCCAGAACCTTCCTTGCCCCTCTGCCCACTAATACATTTCCAGGGAAGACACCCTGCTCCAGCTGCCATGATTAACAATCCTCAATCTGAGCAGACAAGAATCTTGGCGTAAAGGATGAACCTCTAGAGAGAGTGGACCTCTGCTCCAGGACTTGCCTTCCTTCTTCCTAGGAAGCTGGTATGCTGACCGGTTTAGCAAAGACTGATGGTGACCAGTCCATCTAGTTGTCCCAAAGGTGCTTTTTCAAGAGGCAACTGGACTTTCTGGTTTTTTCCTTGAAGACATCTTGCTCCCCATCCCAGAAGCTTCAGAACTGAAGAAGCTTCTTCAATGAGAAGAGAAGGGTCTTCAAGGAAAAAACAAAGAAAGTCCAGTTGCCTCTTGAAAAACCAGGACTTGGGTGACTGAGAATCTCACAGGCATCCAATCTAGTTATTAACAGATCCGCCAGAAAGGTATCTTTAAAAATCATCACATTTTAAAAGAAAAGAAAAACTGGAAGGAAAAACTCAAAAATGTATCCGTCTTAGCCAAGTGCCTGAAAAATCACCTCTGGGAAGAGGAGTTCTTACCTGCCATGACCGATGCAAAAGGCTGCTGGGGGTCAAAGGGACATTTCAGCCTGCCAGATTCCAGGTGGTGAGTATTAAATCTGAACATGACATCCTGCACAGAAAGGAGATGCACCCATTAGTTCAATGCTTCAGATGGGAGGAAGTCTGGATTTAAAGAGAGTCAGTTGTTATACTGTTGAACTAGGACTGAGGAGACCCAGGAGACACCTCAGCCATGGAGATCCTGGGAGCTGGTTTGGGCCAGACACTCAATCCCAGCCCTACCTTTTTCCTCTGTTGGGAGAGAATATTGGAGGAAAGGGTGTCATGTACTTCCTCTTGGAGTTAAAACAAGGTAAAGAAGTAAAGGAGAGGAAGTAGAGTAGATTATGAGCTTCAATCTGCTCTACAGATGTCTATAACTAATGAATGGCTTGCATGTAGGTGTCTATTTCCAGAAGCCCAACTCTAAGGGCCCTTGTTCAAAGGCTCTTCACCCTTCCCTGGCTAGACACAAAGCTCTACAGATGCCACATTGGCTGTTAAAGGAATGTTCTCTTTTAACCCTGGTACAGCTGAGGATGGGCCAGGAAAGAGCCGAATGCAATATTCTAGCAAGGGGGCTGAAAAAAAAAATTGCCAATTGGGTGCAAGTGGAGACATGATTAATTAGGTTTGCGTGCACATCCACTGACTACACTGATATACTGTAATTATAACCAAATACAGAATTATATGTATTTTAGACCGAAGCTAGGCTCGTTAGCACTTCCCCTGCCCATTTTCTGGCTATATCAAGAGAGCCTCAAACACAACCTACCTGCCCAGCAGTGACAGAGTAAAAGAAATACTGCAAAAGAAAACTGGCTTTTAAACGCTTCCCAGAAAAAGTATTTTTCAGTTTTTAGAAAGGAGGGAGGGTGCCAGAGCAATTCAGTTACGCTTCATGCAGAACAGAGCCAAGTTACACAACCTAACAACCTCCAGCAATGTTGGAGCTGTGATCCTTCCAGTTTCCAATTGGCCCAACTCATTTATAAGGCATTCGGTCCAAATTAATCATTTTAAACGGTGCCCTTCCCAGGTCAGAGCATAAAAAGGGTTACAGAGGGGAAAGTATCAAGGACCACGAACGGCGTTGGAATCTCCAAGATGGCATCTCTTTACTGCTGCTCAGAACAAAGACCAGAGAAGGATCTTCAGGCTTGGATGGCTAAAACTCTCGCAGAATTATGCCCTCTTAGAGAGCCATCCGCTGGCCAGATTTCTCTGGGAAACTTAACAGACTGAACAGGACGGTGACAGCTTCCAACCCTTCGGCTCTTACCTCAATGTGTTTATTATAGGTATGGCCAAGAGACTTCTATGGAATTTAGATTAAATTTGGCATGAACTTTAGTGGCAGCCAGCCTAGACTCGTAATCTCGTTGTGTAAAAATATGCAAACTTCTTGGAAAAGGATCTAGAAAGCTTAAAATCAGGTCAAAAGGAATCTGCTCTCTAGCCAGACATTTATTTTTCCTAGGGAACGTTATTGGCAGGTTATCCCCAAGGCTGACCGGCATCTACAGAGGGAAGGACCCACAGCCCTGAGATTAGAGTCTAGACACCACCAAGGAATTGTGGTCATATTTCTCGATAATTAACAAAATTAATATAGCAGTTATCTGGCCTTTCTGAGATACAGAACAAAATAGGAAAAAAAAATGATGCTACTGTAGATTTCTTTATGCAGAGAGAAAAAGTTTTAAGATAAAATATTTCTACTTTGCTTTCCTTTTTGGTTTAGTGGGATGATGACCACGTTTCAATTTCAGAGCAAATATTTGGTAACATAATCCTCCTCCTCCTCCTCCTCCTCCATTGAATATGAACTTTGTAATTCTAATTTCACCTCTCATCCATAATGCTGAGAGATGGACAAAATTCACAGAGAGGCTTCAAGGGGAATCTTGGCTCAGCAGGCACCAGAAGGAGAATGATGAAGCTTCAGAGGGAAGGCTCTGCCCACGGCCTATTCAAAAGGATTCGGGGGGGGGGGTTTCCTTTCATTTACTGCCACCCCCTGCTAGTAAAAGGCATCTTATGGGCTAAAATGTGCTCTTGAGACCATTAATCACCTGATAAAAGCAAGTCTGTACCCAACCACATTAATCACCTCATCTGAGGTTTGCCAACAGACCAATATTCAAAAATGTGAGGACATAAATTCTTACACGATTTGGTAAAAACCCTCAACCTGCCTGGTTGACAGCAGTGGCTGTCAGATCGTTTTTATAAGGCCATAGACTCACTCTCTCTCTTTAAAAAAGAAAAAAAGAGAGAGAGAGAGATTTCCATGGAAATGATGGATGCTAGGAAAAGTCACGGTCCATTTGGGGAAGGATTAAATTACCTCTTTGTGTGTTCCGAGATCGATGTAGCCACAGACCGGATGAAAAGCTCCCGTACCGCAGACATAAACGTGAGTCTTGTTGTAAGGCTGAAGGACCCTGATAAAGTTGGCACAATCTGTCTATAGTGAAAAGAAGGACAGGCGGCATCAGCTGCTATTAACATCCAGAGGGCAGTTCAAGATGCTACCCAACACTCAGGGAGAACCTGAGCCATTGCATTTCTCTTGTAAGATTGCCAGTTTGTGAACAGGGTTCATTATATTTGAAAAACAAGCCCTGGCTTTCATTCTTTGCTTGGAGGTTTTGTGTTGCCTGAATCAATAAAGCATTGCCGTTCTCCCAAGAAAGGAGGCTTACAAGGGGATGGGGAAGGGTAAGGAAAACGGATGCATCTCTTGGAACATCCACGTGCTTATGGTACCCACGAAAGCTCAAACCACGGGCTCGCTTGTGAATTAGAACAAGGTCAAACTGAACCGGCAGAATGCCTCCCGTCAGCCATTGTGTGAGGAAGGGGGCCACGTGCAGCAAGAAAGGGACAGACAATGGCAGGGAAAAAAGGGCATTGAGCAGCTTTATCTCAAAAGGGTTACAAAAATATCACTCATCAGATTGGCTTTAATGTTTGGGGTTTCTTTCATTGCCCACCTTCTTGAATTAAAAAGGGGTCTAGGGTAGGTTTCCTCTTCAGAGCCGCGCTCTTTAAATCAGCCATGCAGGACTGCAAAAATTGCTGGCGTATCAATCTGGAAGTCTTCTCTTGCTAGTGTCCTGTGCTCAGGTCTTGCTCAATTTCCACAGAAATCAAGAAAAAGAGTGGAAGAACAGACTGTGCCTGGGTCAGTCCCAACCCCTGTTGACTTCAGAGGACGGATGGTGGAAACTGGGAATCTGCTTACTGCACTCCGTAATAAAGGCTGCCTTTCCCCCTCTAAGCCAAGGGTTTGTCACGCTCCGGCATCTGAGCGTTTCTGCCTGATTCTGGTCCTCCTCACGTGGCCTCCCCAAGGTCTGCTGGGTCACAGCCCTGATTAAAGGGGAATAAAAGGGAAGCCTGCCTTATCTGAGGTTTCGCTCCTAGACATTAATCTCACGGGGGGCATTTCCAGGCATGGCAGCTTACATTCGCCTACCATCCTTTAGTTTTTCTTTTAATAACTTTCATTTGAATGTTGGATGTATTTCGCAGCCTGCTGTGCAGCAAATCCCTTATTCTGCAAGAAATATGGATAGAGATACTAGGATATTTTATTATTATAATTATAATTATTTATTATAATTATTTATTATAATTATTTATTATAATTATTTATTATAATTATTTATTATAATTATTATTATTATTATTATTGTTGTTGTTATTGTTATTGTTGTTATTATTGTTATTATTATTATTTTGAAAAGCAAAGTTCTTCTTCGTGGGCAAAACTCTTTGGCTTGACCATCCTCAGATACTTTCCCTTCTCTTTTCCCCCAAAACAGACCAAGTTGGTCAGAAATGGCAGAAATGGCAAAAGCACCAGGAAGCTGCCCAAATTCATTAGGCTGCCCATTTTATCCACATTCCTCCTGGAGTGGCCCACAACAGGAAGCATCTATGAGAACTTTGCATCTATGTGTCGCTGGTGTCCATAGAAATGAAAAGCCTGACTTTAACGAGCCAAAGCTGCAAAAGGCCCTTTGTAAAAGCTGGGCCCATGGAGACTTGGAAGAAAAGTCCAGGCAGATGGATCCATGTAGGAGGTGGTGGGTGGTTGGGTCGTGTTTGACCAGCCAGACAAAATCCCCCTGATTAGCTGAGCAGGGTGGGTCACATCAGCATGGCTTCATAGCCGAGGAAGTCTCTGTGAAACCCAGATGGCTCTTTGGCCGGCCGCCTGCTCGTTCCAAAGGATGTGGTCTAGAAAAGGGCTGCTGGGTCTACAAGGGTGAACTAAAACAAGGTCCCTGCAGGGGAGTGGGGAGGGGAGGGGAGGCTTGCTCCACCACCATTCTTGGGCCTTGAGATGATCTGAAGTTTCCTGCAGTCTAGGAATCAAGTGGCACCTGCAGATGTCAGGGGAAGTTCATCTCGACCATCTGCCATGAGAAGGGATGGAGAGAAAGAGAGAGAAGGAAACAAGAGAGAAGAGGTGGACGTAGTTCAGACAGAACAGGAAGAGAGCAGCATTCGGGAGCTGCATCAAACAAATACATCACAATGAAAATTTGTCTACAATGTATTCTCGACAGCTCGATTGCCCTCAAAGGAGGGACAACTGGCTGGAAAAACAATTTAAGTCATTTATGGTGTGGGAGTCTGGGAGAAGACCTGCGGTTGATATTACTGAAGAAGTTTCAATATTGACTTTGAAGAGGGACAACATAAGCTGGAAAAAAGGGGAAAAAACATGTCCAGGTGATGTATGAGAAGAAGCAGGTTGCTATATATTCAATTCCATTTTCTTTTCTCTCTTCCTGACCATCCTAAAGTGGCCTCTTGCAGCAAATTACATCTTCATAACATTTCCAGTACAACATTCCACATATTGTAATGTCATTAGGGGAATAATGATGAAAGGAGGGTTTCTTTAAGCAAAAAGAAACAAATATTCAGAATACCAGATGGAAACATAAAAGAGAAAGGAGAGTGAAATCAAAGAATTGAAGTTAAAAAAAAAGCATTGTGATTCCTCTTCGTTATGCATTGGTCATGCTGCACCCAAAACTTTGTGTCTAATTATGGGCATCACATTTTAGGAATGTGATGAACTGCAGCTTGACCAGAGATTTCTTTCCAAAGAATGAGAGGGTTGAATGTACTGTAATTGAGCTGCAAAGAAGAGAAGCCTACAAGATGCCATGATAACTTTCTCAAGAGTCATGGAGACTCTTTTTATTCCGATTTTTATTCCAATTTTTTTTTCCAGAAGACAAAAGAACAATACGGGTTTAAACCAGAGATGTCCAACCTCGGCCACTTTTAAAAACTGTGGACTTCAACTCCCAGAAATCCCCAGCCAGTCTTGCTATCTGGGAATTATGGGAATTGAAATCCTCAAGTCTTAAGGTTGCCAAGGTTGGACATCCCTGGTTTAAACCATTAGATTCTGGTTAGATATCAAGAAAAAAGTCCTACGATAAAAGCTGTTCAACAATAGATTCCCTCAGCAGGTTTTGGCCTCTTATTGGAGCACAAGGAGAGGTCGGATAGTTATTTTTGTATCTCCTGGACTAGATGATCTCTGAGACCCTTTTCAAGTTATCTACTCTGATTCTGTGAAATAATAAATCTTGGAGAGAACAAAGAATATATTCAAGTGGGCTTTCCATGACCAATGGCAATAATGCTTTTTTCCTTCTTCTTCTTCTTCTTCTTCTTCTTCTTCTTCTTCTTCTTCTTCTATCTTTTGCATGATTGAGCTGCCATGAGATGACAGACGGAGTGGACTAACCACTCTTGGCCAAACCAACATCTTGAATGCAACATCTTTTTATAGGCCCCGTGGGTGTCAGGAGCAAAGAGATTCAGAAACACTGAAAAATGCAGAGGAAATCTTCAGCGGAGCATGAATCCCAACAAAAATGGCTCCTGCTTTGACAGTGGCAACACTTTTGACTAATCGTTTTATTTATTGCTGCAGGAGAAAGTAAGGAGCCTCTCTTTGTGGTGAAGGACACACAGCCAGCGAGCCCCTTCTGTCTCAGGGCTGGTGCAAACCAGGCTGAGTAAGCCATGAGTCAGATATAACCCCCGGAGACAGCGCTATGCCAGCACCACCACCAGCTCAACGGCCGAGGCTTTGCTAGAGATCAAATCAAAGAGACGTGAACAACCGCCTGCATTTCAGGTCCCCAGGTTCCCCCAATGGACAGATTGCAATCGTAAGGCCAAGGGGAAAGAAAAAGAAATATACTTACATGGGCGTCTTTCCCAGCTAGTTTACATAAATCCACTTTTTCCTTTGCTGCGGGCCAAAATATCTGCAATTCATTTAGAAATGGGTCTTAGGATCAGATGATTTTGTTATTCTTGACTTAAATTATATTTATACGTTCGCTTCTCTATTACATCAGCATCCGAGAACCTCAATGCAAGAGTGAGGCAGTCTATGACTAAGCCTCAGCCACCCTCTGTGCCGTTCCAGACCTACAGTGAGGAAGGAGCTGGCATTAAACAGGGATGGGACCCCCGTTTCCCCTCCCCTCCCAGGCTGAAAGGTGTCATTTGCCCCCCCTCCCCCCCGCTCAGCAATCCCATGAAGAAAAAACAATTTTGCAATAATTTCAGATCTGGACAAGAACTGCATGGACGATGCGTTCGTTTTTTCAAACACTGATCATCACCTTTCGAAGAACAAGATTTTCCTGGCTCTCAATATACTAAAATCTGATGTGAAAATATTTAACAAGCACATTCAGTAAAATAAAATATGCAATCAGCAGCTACATTTAAAATTACAATTCAGAAACATTAAAAGTCCTGATAGCATTAAAAATGTTTTTGCATCCTGGAGAAGCATCCATTAGTTGGGTGTACGATCTATATCTCAAAACATATATAATTGTGGGTAAATAAAATGCATGAATGCCTTTAAAAAATTACATTTTGTCTTCTACTTCTTCAATGTCCTCCTCGCATTCCCCACCCGACTGCCTGAGATTATTATTCCCCCCACTTTTCTTATTTTTGGTTTTATTTCATTTATAGGGTAGTTTCATATAGGGCTCTGTTTTCAAGGAAGATGAGGTCTTAGCATACGGTTCACACGTTACATTTGCATTTAGATTTTATGCCTGCATATGAGCATGCCTCAATAATTAACGATTGCAAAGATAAAGGTAAAAAACACTTAGAATAAACTTTGAGATCTGTTATTGACAATCACTTATATCAATACTTATTTGTAAATATAGACAACTTTAGAGTGTTCTCCCTATTCAGGCCTACTCAGAGTATGAATGGGGTTTGTTCTCTAAGCATGTACATTTTGCTATTTCTAGAAAAGTTGTGCAAGTTTATAACTGTCTTTCAATGACATGAATTTTAAATGTTGGCTTTGATTTCAACTGCATCGTTTTATTGTTATTATTTATGTTCTTTTTTTAATTGTTGCAAACTACCTTCAAAGCTGGTGTAAACAAAAAGGAGGGGTATAATTGAGCGCACATATTCTGGAGAGAGAGAGAGGGAGGGAGGGAAAGAGAGGGGGAGGGAGGGGGAGGGAGGGAGGGAGGGAGGGAGAGAGAGAGAGAGAGAGAGAGAGAGATGGAGCAGTTCCTTGAGGATGGGCTCCAGCATGCATCCAAAAGTTTGGAAGAATAAACCTTCAGTCCCGGGGACCGACTAGGAATGGATCCTGAGTTGGTTCAGCCTTTAGAAACTAAGTCAACTAAGTCATCATCCTTTTTGAAATGGTTGAAAGCACGTCAGACAGAATCAGATAAGGCTGGTTCTCTCTTGTTCGCGATTGCAGGACAGGGAATAACCAGCTTTTGGGAGACAGATTCTGGTTGACTCTTGGGGGAGAGAGAGGGAGCCTTTCTAATTGTACGAGCAGTCCAAAAGGATGGTGGCTTTCTTCACCAAGTGGAAAGAAGGTGATCATTAAGTCTGAACTCAACAACTCCTTCCGATTCTGTGACTCTAGGAGATGAAGCAGTGGCTCCTCCCACTCATGTTTCACAGCTCGTGGCCTTTGACACCAGGATCAATAGGTAGCTCAGCCCTCCTGGTGACCCATGGCCGTCGATAAGCTTTTCCTCGGTGGGACTCCCCTGCAGGAGGACCAGAATCCTCCAGATGGAAGGGAAAACACCAGGCGTCCCATAAATCTGGAGCTAATGAGCCACACGTGATGGGAGCAGGGAATATTTTCATGGGGTTGATTTACGAGTCCTTTTCAAAAGCAAAGCGGAGAAAGTGAAGGATGGCTCAGAAGGTTCCTGTTGTATTAAAAAAAAAAATAGTCGCTGCTTTAATACTGAGATTGCAACTCCACTTAGAAAGGAGGCAGCAACTCACAATATGTAGAGTGACATGTTTTCCACACGGAAAATGGGTAGCTCACCTAGTGATGGATTTACCACGGTCCACATGGGTGGAATGAAAGTGTCAGATGGCTAAGGAAGAGGAGAATGGAAATCAGATGTGGGTTTTGTGTGTGTGTGTTTGGCTTCAGAGAGCAAGGCATGACTCAGAGAGCAGGCGTGATTCTCTCTCCTAAGTGCTGAGATTCTCCAGCTATCTGTACAGGGGCTGAAATGTGCTTGAAAAATTAGGTTCTTGTGTCGCGTGTATGGCTCACTCGTCTTTATTCCTTTTGGCAGGGAATTTCTAGGGGAATAGCTTTTTTTTTTCCCAAGACCAATTCTAAGCCATGTTAGTCTATGTGTCAGCCAGAAATGAGAAGGCATCTGGCCAGTACTTTTACTGACTGACAAATTTTATTAAGAGGCATAAGGGTTCATGAGTTCAGCTCACCAAAGGATTTACTAAACCCTTTCAGTAAAATTGCTAGTTGCTCAGATTCCTCCTGAATCTTCATAAGAGGCCTTCATGGCTCATGGAAAATATTGCATTAAATATATTTATTTATTTATTTATTTATTTATTTGGTTTATATGGCCACCCATATTTCAAAAGTGACTCTGGGTAGCGTACAACAATCAAGTAAAACAAATATATAAAAACAATCACTATAAAAATATCAAGGATCATTATTTACATTGAAATAGGCAAACCACAAGGAACAGCACAGAGTGAATAGCGCTAGCAATAGCCCTTAGACTTATATACTGCTTCACAGTGCTTTTACAGCCCTCCCTAAGCAGTTTACAGAATCAGCCTCTTGCCCCCAACAATCTGAGTCCTCATTTTACGGAACTCGGAAGGATGGAAGGCTGAGTCAACCTTGAGCCGGTCAGGATTGAACTCCTGACTATGGGCAGAGTTTGCCTGAAATACTGCATTTTAACCACTGTGCCACCAGAGCTCCAAATTGTCTATTGAGTCATGGAGCTGTTTTAGAATGCCACCGGTGCCCTGGAGCCCCAGGCCCGGATGACAAAGCCTTCTCTTGAGTGGCTTCCTAGGCATTGACAAGGATGGAGCTAACCTCACTTCAGGGAAGTGGAGCCAATGTCCCATAAGGCAGAGAAAGTCCAATGCCTTGAATCTGTCAAGCAGAGGTGGCACCAGCAGCATTTAGCCTTCTCTAAGAGAGCTTGCTCAAAATAAGAGAGCTCCATCTATTTATCTCTTTGCCCAGATGTCCGTCAACTACATCTAACCTTCACAGGCCTTTAGTGTTGGCAGCTTGTCAACATTTTGTTGTTCTTCGATAGCAACACATCCCAGCAGAAACGGGGTGAATGTCCATGTCAACTCCATTGTGTTTGGTGTGCTGAATCCCTATTTACATTCCTGAGTAACAAAACATCTTAAAAAACACGCAACAAACACGTCAAGATAAATAAATATTTTAAATGAGTCTTCCACACTGTATTTAGGGAGGACTTTTACTGAATTATCCTCTGTCATTGTGGTGAAATCACTGAGCTGGAGAGTTGGATTCTACAGACAAAGTGGAAACTATGAAAACTCTATCGGGGGCACATTGTTGTAACCAGATCTCTGCCCTGATGCTCAGAAGAGGCAATTAAAGCTCCAAGTCTCAGCACTGCATCATTTCGCTGGGTTTCCCCAGGGAATCGCTCAGGCTGACTGGTTCCTTTTGGAGTGAGCATCTATTTTCTGGAGATTTATAAGGTACAACATCATTTATTTATGGGGGAAATGTATGCAGACGCATTCCTAACTAATAAAAAAAAAAAAATGACCGTATTTATTCCACGGTCCCAAATCTCCCACTAGAGCACTCCATCTTCTCCTGTTATGTTAAAGGCCAGGATTTTTCTCTGTTCTTGCTCTGCATTCATCCTTCCTCCTATCATTGCAGGAAGAGCACTTCGTACAGCCTTCTAATTTATGGGGTTTCCCCCGACGGAGGGGATTTTGTCCGATGATGCAATTTCAAGGCACGTGAAGGGCCGACTTCTCCCAACGGATGCCGTTTCCTCACCTACAGGAAGCTCTGAAGCAACCGGGTGGCACCTGGCCAACACAAACCTGACTGTATGAACACAGCACAACACAAACATTACCTTCCGATACTCATCTGCTACCAGGAAGCATCTCTCCAGCCTGGTCCCTCTCACGTGGCTTTGACGGACATAAAAATTGTGCTTGGAGGGACAAACTAGAAAGAGATGTTGATGGGCGGGGGAGGAGGGCCTTGTCCTGAAAACTAGAAGCATAAATCTATACAGAGGTCTATTAAAAGGCAGGCTGGTTGCCAAAAGACCAGAGCACCTACAGGTCTCTCTGAGGCCACTATTTAGGGAAAATAATTTAGAACAGGAGCTCACCTTTAAAATATGCTGCTGTGTGCTACTGGCTGACGACAAAGGTCAGGGAGAAACTTATCAGAAACAGACCGGCCCAGCTGCAAAACTGTAAACAGAAGCCCAGGAGGCAGCCTGACTAACCACATCCAAGGAAAAGCAGGACCTACAGAAGAAAAGGCCGCAAACCTTTCGGCAGTCTGAAAACCCCCAGGAAGGAAATGTTGGTGCTCCTCAACAAGGGTTGAACTATGAAGCAGATAATAGCTTCTGTGTTTCAACTGGAGTAGAGATTCTACATAGGATGAACCAAGATTCTCTCACCAGGCGTTCTTCAGATGTATTGGGGACTATAATTCTCGGACTTCCTAGCCATCCAGGATGGCTGAGAGTTGCATTTCCATCACATCTTGAGGTCCAGCCTAAAAGCTCTAGGAGAAGAAGGCTGACATGTATCTCGCAGCATCTGCCTGAAGCGGTTCCAGTCCACCCAGACTGATTTACTGAGGTGGAACACCTGGCTTCTTGGCTACAGAAAAGAGCCATGTTATCTTCATGATATGAAAGGCTTCCTTGAAGTGGATCTCCCTCACTTCATTACGGTCTAATGCTATATTTCCCAATCTTGGCAACTTTAAGATAAGTGGCCTCATCAACTCCCAGAATTCCTCAGCCAACATGGCTGGGTTAAATGCCTCAAGAGAAGAGTCACTGATTATGTTACCTACTTGGGTAATGAAATGCCTGCAAGCAGAGAACCAGACTCAGAGAGCATCAAGGACTCCGCAGTCCAATGTCTCTATGATTTTGCCTTGTTGGACCATATTGGAGACATTGTTCCCTCTGCTACAATAGATTGAGGGTACCATCTAATAGAACTGCTGGAAAAGATGACAAACAACATGTTCGCTAAGAATTGCACCATAACATGCACATGTTCGCTAAGAATTAAACCATAAGAAACAATCAGCAGGCCAAGAAAAAAGTGATTGTGCTCCAAAATGGGTGATTGCATCTTAAATGAGTTTCTTTGAAAGTCTAATCCGAGGATGATTTCCCTCTTTGAAATACGCAATTTGATATAGCCAGCCAAAAAAAAAAAAAAAAATCCTCGTGTTTTTCTTCTTAAATGTATCGATACCTATCCTTCCATGAAATCTCAAACAAGTATTTGATTATAGTAAAGTCACTTTGAATTATACCAAATGCATATTAACATTTCATAGGAAGGGCTTATCGCTCAGCGCATCTGCTTCCCATCTAACATCCTTGGAACTCCTGACAGCAAAGCCCTTTTTACCAGAACAAATAAAGACTATAGCAATAAACTTCCAGTTAGGCATCTGCGTTTCTGTGCTGTTTTTTAAAAGAACATCCGAGCAAAGAACGAGTTCTAGAAAGGAACTAGAATCAGTTCTGGAACAAAAGAAGAAGTAAGCTAAATCAAACGTGATGCCTCCCTCCCCTATGAATTCTAAGGGCCCCATTGTGTTTTCGATGACTTCTAACAATAAGGATCGTCCTTTCTCTTGAAGTGAAGTGAAATATGAGTGTTTCTGCATGAAGACTGACCCTGTTTGCATGTAGCTGTCATAATACACGGGGAAAGGCAGAGAGAGATGTTACAACTGTTTACACTCTAGCTCCATGGAGGGCAAACGTCCAGCTGATATTTATGCTATTATATTGCTTTCCTACTCTGAGAGCTCCGCAGGCTGACAAACTCAGTTTATTAAAAGCAAGCTACGTAACCATGGGTGGTTAGTTTATTAAACCCACAGGATGGCCCAGGACAGATGATCCGGGATTTTCACGAAATCAGGGAGAGGAAGCAGATCGATTAGGAGGCAGACCTATTGATTTTGCCCAACGATCAACTGACCTTGTTTCCATTTTTGTTTAAGTCGACTAAGCTGAGCAGGAATATGTGGTCCTTAGCGCCGAGCAGGAGATGACCCCTTTCTTCATCAAGCAGCAGGGTCCGAAAATCCAGTCCTTCCGCCGAGCCCAGGAACGGGATGCAGCTGTTCGAAAGCAGCAAGTCTGTGAGAGAACGAAGAAAATCCTTGGAACCGAGAATGTATAAACATGGATCACGGGTGTCTTCTATAAATATAGGCACCCAGAAGGATCTTGGTTAAGATAACTCAGTTGAGTTAGCAAAGATCTCTTCCTAGAGAACACAGGACAGAGGAAGGCTAGCACAGCAGATGTTTTTTTTTTTTTCATAAGCTCCACATTTATCCTAACTGAGGTTATAGTCACCTCTGTAAGTATTTGGAACTTTCTAGTTTGGAAAAAAAAATGTTCACAATTCTAATATAAGATACATAACTTCCCACCTCCAGGCTACTCAGGTCTTTGGCTAGATAGTCAGTTTGGCTATTATGATAGAACGCTTTGAACCAAAAAGTAGAGAATTGTGGACTTGAAGGAGACTATAAGAAAATCTAATCCACGGGTGTCAAACTGGTGGCCCATGGGCTGGAGCCATCATGCACAGGCCACGCCCAGCCCAGCTCCACAAAGGAAAAAAAAACATTGCAATATGTCACGTGATGGCAACACGATGCCACGGGTTTGACACTCATGATCTAGGCCAATGTTTCTCAACCTTGGCAACTTTAAGACGAGTGGACTTCAACTCCCAGAATTCCCCAGCAATTAAAGTTCCCATGGGTGGGAAACACTAATTTAGTCTGATTCTTTACACTGTACAGAACTTATGAAGCCATCTTCAGAGGTAGCTGCCCAGTTCTACTTGCAAATCTCCAGAGATGGAGAACCCACAACCTGTGTAAGTGACCCTGTTTCACTCTTGTATAGATCCTGTGTAGAAGAGTGTAGGTATAAGGAAATAACTTGTTTTGGGGGGGGGAAAGGGGAGGGGAATGAAAGGTCCAAATATCGAAAGGAGCTTGACATATAAACAGAGTTTGAAAAGCTGAACATCAGCCAATTGTGTAGGGAAGCTGCTAAAAGGGAAAAATATTTTTTTCAGTACATCAATAGAAGCATAATATATACATAATTGAAACAAATTGTCCCATTCTCCTCTGCCCTGTTCATATTATTATGCCCAATTCTGGGCACTGCAACCTAAAATGACCACCAATAAACTGTAGGAAGTTCAGAAGAAGATCTGAAAAATGAATCCTTGAAGAAATGGCTCAAGGAACGGGCAATCCTTGGCCTGCAGAAGAGAAGAGAGGAGACCAAAAGGAGAAAGGAGGGACTTGCTCTCGGTTGGACCAGCAACAACAGGAAGCAGAATCAGATATTAGATAGCAGGAAGAATTCCCTGCTAGCTAGTAAGAGAGGTCAACTAATAGAAAAGGTTGCCTTGGAAAGTGATGCTACCCTTCACTGGAACTTTTTCAATTCGCCCAAAGTGCTTTAGAGATCCCGTATTCCAGCTTGATATTTGATTCCAGAAAGTTGCCTCCAAGCATCATCCATGGGTTCCCTGGAAGACACCAGAGTTTTAAGGGAAGGGCTGGATGAGTGTCTCCGTTTGGTCCATTCCAGAATCACATCTGAAGCCCTGTAACTGAGAAGCCCTCTCCAGGCAGGGAGCAGCGGCTTTGCCCTATTTATTTGGCCTCCCTCTTTTCACTACAATTGCAATAATGAGCCCTTTTGACCGAAGCCAAACAGAACCGATTTGAAGGGCTTTAGACTTCTCCCAGAAGAGAAAATCAGGCACTGCGAAAGGAGTTGCCTGACATGTGGGAAGCCCTGTGCATTGGATAAATAAATACGTTTCCTTGAAATGCCTCCTTCTCTGTCCTAGGACCAGCTTAGCCATCAACGTAATCGCGAAAGGCACCAAACAGCCCCATTAGAACTTTGAAGACATCATTGTACGTCATATTTTCAAATAAAGTTTGACGGAAGGCCCAGCTGCACAAACAGGCCTTTCAAAAATATTGTGGCTCTTATCATTATTATTACCGAGACGATGAAATGCTCTTTTGTGCCTTCAAATTGTTGGTGACAGAACAATAAGCCCGGTTCCCAGAATGTAGCCAGTCCAAATAATTAGCTTATAAACATTGTGAATGAAAATGTGTCCAATCTGAAACAGTTGTCACTACAAAGACGACCTTGGGCTGTGGGCTTGCGCAGGTTCCCTTCTTAGAACCCAGCTTATCTTACTTCTGCTGCTGCCAAGCAAAGCAACGTCATCTTGTTACTCAAGCAGTTAAAAATGTACTTTTTTTAAAAAAGGAAGAAAGAAAGAAAGAAAGAAAAAATAACATGGAAATTGTCTACATGCTTAGCTGTTGATCTGAGGCCTAGAAAAGACCCTCCATTTCCCCTAATCTTAAAATAAAAGTGAAGAAGCAAATTAACTGTTGGTACTTCTCTACTTACCCCAATGTATTAATGTCATCAAACATTGTGGGAAGGAAGGTAGCTTAGACCACTTTATGTACCTTAAAGTGAATTTTCAGAAAGTGTTAAGTGTTAAGCATGTAGCTGGGGAATTCTGGGAGATTTATTTATTCATTCATTCATTTATGAATGTATTTAGAGTATTTGTTTATTGAATTTATTTGTTGTCCATCTTGTAGCAAATGACTCAGTGGAAGCAGAGATGAAGTCCCACACACCTTAAAACTGCCGAGATTGAAAGACCCTGATCTAGATTCACAAAGGCGGGTTAACTATATAAGGACTTTCATTTTAATGGTGTGGCTGGGGTATGTTTTGAGATAGAGGCTGCACATGGTCAAGCAATATGGACTGGGGAGCCTTCCTTACTTTCCACCCTTTCAACAGCTGAAAGCTCCATGCGGTTCCAGCCCCAGTTCCATGCAGGATTGTGGCCGAGTCAGGAGCCAGAGCTCCCTGAGGATTTATTCTACAGCAAGAACAGCTTCACCAGTTACTCCACTGGGCCCACTCCCTTCTCTTTCCTTCACTCAGCAGCAGAGATGGGGAGGTGGGCATTGTCCCATAAAATCCCTTGGATTGAGGATCCCTCCTCGTTGCAATACCACCACTACGTTCTCCAGAGCCAGGTTTTGCAGAATTGTTCCTAAAGAGTACAAAATGACATTCTTGCATGCGGCATATTGTCTCATGCACCTCAGAGTTCTCGAAGAGAAGGCTGTTCAGTGAAGGAAGGTTGACTTCCCTCCAAATGGAAAGTGAATCCTACTTTATTGGACTGGAAAGAAGACTAGGGCAGTAACAGGTTTAAGGATGGTCTGATTTTACCTAGTAATCACAACGCTATCCAGAAAGTAGCACTGAGGATATTGGGGGTAGCAAGATTGCAGCTGCAGACAGTCCAAATGGCCTAGTGGGTAAAGCATCTGATAAGGACCATGTTCAACTCTATTCTCAACCACAGGGAGTTAACTAGGAGACTCTAAGCCAGTCCTAATTTCTCAGCCAACCTACCTCTCAGAATAACCAAGTACCAGAGTTGGAGGGGACCTTGGAGGTCTTCCAGTCCAACCCCCTGCTTAGGCAGGAAACCCTATTCCATTTCAGACAAATGGTTGTCCAATCTCTTCTTTAAAACTTCCAGTGTCGGAGCACCCACAAGTTTTGGAAGAAAGTTTTTCCACTGGTTAATTGTTCTCACTGTTAAGAAGTTTCTCTTTATTTTTAGGTTGCTTCTCTCCTTGATTAGTTTCCACCCATTGTTTCTTGTTCTGCCTCCACAGAGTTGTTGTTGGAATAAAATGAAGGGAGACTGCATCTAATCCACCTTGAGCTTCTGGAAGGAAGGCAGGAGGGAGACTGAACTAATAAAAGAGAGAAGCACACAAATGCTTAGAGGACTTACACTCTCATTCCATCCTTCCACAAAGCTTCCACTGGTGATTGGACAGAGATCTACTCCAATCACCCAAGCAAAGTAGCTTTGTGGGGTGAACCTTCCCAGATCAGAGCAACTGGGTGGCTTTGCTACCTAGAACTAAGGAGAAATGTCCTGACAGTGAAGGCAATTAACCAGTGGGACGGCTTGTCTCCAGAACTTATAGCTGCTCCAACACTGGAGATTTTTAAGAAGAGCCTGGACAACCATTTGTCTGAAATGATACAGGGTCTCCCACTTGAGGATGGGCTGGAGAGAAGATCTCCAAGGTCCCTTCCAGCTCTGTTATTCTGTTATTCTGCTGCAATTGTTTCTCTGGTCCTTCAGAGGGGTCTTCTGGAGCACATGCCGGAAGCCATGTGCCTGTACAAACCCTGTCCTGTACGATGCCTTGCAATGATAGAGCGCATCGGGTCTGACCCTCAGCGCATGGTGCCAAGGCTGACTGTGTGGCCATCGATGCTTGGAAGAAAGCTCTGCTTTTGTGTGGGTCTGCTGTAGAAAGAGGACAGAAGAGTTTATTGAAAGACGAGTTCATTCCAAAACACAACAGCCGTTTTCAGAGGCGTGCGCCAAGAAACAGAGAAGCCCCTTGGAGGCTGCCATTTGTGTCTCCTCATTCACTCCGAGTCGAGTCTCCCAAGGACAGAAGACAATGAGCAACCCAAGAGCCAAACGCCACCACTTGACTCCCCACTGTGCAAAAGAACAAATAAAGCAGAAAATGGCTAAATGCCCCCACATTTGGTAAACGCTGTCAAATCCAGCCACTGCTGGCCTTAAGTGGGAAGCCATTCAGGGATCTAATCCCGTCTTTGTTATCTCTCTTAACTGGAAATAAGACAAACGGATTTTAATTCGTAACAGTCACGTCAATCTCTGTTCCCCATCTTTTACAACTCTCTTAGCTTTCCAGCTTCATTGCTAAAGCGATCAGCACATTGAGCCCTTGGGGAAAATATGCAAAAGTTGATTGGAATGGACGCTCTGGGGCTGTGCTATAAAAGAAGAAATCAAACTTTTTATGCCCCTGGCAAACCTCATGGAATACTACCTGCTGGGAAGACGCTAAAGGTCTTTGGAGGTCCTTACAGTGCCATCTTAGAAATTACTGTCATGGATGATTTGCCCCACACGCCTGCATAATTCATATTCTCATTCTCTTTCTCTCAAATGCTTTTTTTAAAAAGACAAGCCTGGATTTTAGGTTTATCTGAAGACTGATCATCTTACAATTCATCAGCTGCCAGAAAAAAATGGCAGAGATGCTTAAAAGATACAGTGAGTCAGGATAATTAAATTCAAAGCTGGGCTCTTAATTAATTCTATGAATCAATCCAGAAAGGAAGGAAACTTCATCATGCTAAGGAGAAGCTAATCTGGAGGAAAATAGTAGAAACAGATCATGATGGAGTTAAGCTAACATTTGGATGTGACCTCACATTTATCTCCCAATCTGAAGGGTGTGCTTGAGTCTTGATGGCATCCAAGAGCCACATCCAGAAACAAAATTAAAAATTAAGCTTGATTTAATGTAATCTTGAACTTGATACTAAGCTGGCAGGAATAGCCAACACCCTAGAAGATAGGCTCAAGATCCAGATGGATCTTGACAGACTTGAACACTGGGCCCTATCTAACAAAATGAAATTCAATGTAGAGGAAAGTCCTACACTTAGGTAAGAAAAACCAAAAGCACACATATAAACTGGGGGAAACCAGGCTTAATAGCAGTGACTGTGAGAGGGATCTTGGCGTCTTAGTGGACAATCAGCAAAATATGAGGCAGCCGTGTGAAGCGGCAGCTAAAAATGCCAACACAATCCTAAATTGCATTAACAGATGGATACAATCAAGATCAAGCGAGGGACTAACACTACTCTATAAAGCCCTAGTAAGACCACACCTAGAGTACTGCATCCACTTTTGGTCACCACACTATAAAAAAGATGTTGAGACTCTAGAAAAAGTGTAGAGAAGAGCAACCAGGATGATGAGGGGACTGGACGCTAAAATATATGATGAACGGTTGCAGGAACTGGGCCTGGCTAGGGAAGAGAAGGACCAGGGGAGACATGATAACAGCCTTCCAATATTTGAGGGGCTGCCACAGAGAGGAGGGGGATCAAGCCATTCTCCAAAGCACCCGAAGGCCAGACAAGGAATAATGGATGGAAACTGACCAAGGAGAGATTAAAATCTAGAAATGAGGAGGAACTTTCTGACAGAACAATCAACCAATGAAACAGAAGTTGCCTTCAGAAGTTGTGGAAGCTTCATCACTTGAGACTTTCAAGAAAACATTGGGCTGCCATTTGTCAGAAATGGGGTAGGGTCTTCTGCTTGAGTGGGGGGGAGGGTTGGACTAGATGACCTATAAGGTCCCTTCCAACTCTTGTTAATCTGTTAATCTATTAAACACACTCAAAACTGAAGAAATAATAGTAGATTTTAGGAGAAACCCTCCTATATTACCACCTCTTACAATACTTAGCAATACAGTATCAGGGATAGAGACCTCCAAGTTTCTAGGTTCTATCATATCGCAAGATCTAAAATGGACAGCTAACATCAAAAATATCATCAAAAAAGCACAACAAAGAATGTTCTTTGTGCGCCAACTCAGAAAGCTCAAACTGCCCAAGGAGCTGCTGATCCAGTTCTACAGAGGAATTATTGAGTCTGTCATCTGCACCTCTATAACTCTCTGGTTTGGCTCTGCAACCCAACAAGACAGACACTTCAGAGGATAATTAGAATTGCAGAAAAAACAATTACTACCAACCTGCCTTCCATTGAGGATGTGTATACTGCACGAGTCAAAAAGAGGGCTGTGAAAATATCTACAGACCCCTCACCAGGAGTGAAATCCAGCAGGTTCTGACAGATTCTGGAGAACCGGTAGCAGGAATTTTGAGCAGTTCAGAGAACCAGTAAATACCACCTCTGGCTGGCCCCAGGAGTGGGGTGGGAATGGAGATTTTGCAGTATCCTTCCCCCAGGAGTGGGGAGGGAATGGAGATTTTGCAGTATCCTTCCCCTGCCACGCCCACCAAGCCACGCCCACCAAGCCACACCACGCCCACCAAGCCACGCCCATAGGAACTGGTAGTAAAAAAAAATGGATTTCACCACTGCTCCTCACATCCTGTTTCAACTTCTATCCTCAAAACGACGTTATTGGGCATTGCACGCCAGAACCACTAGACGCAAGGACAGTTTTTTCCCTCATGCCATCACTCTGCTTAGCAACTAATTCCCTAAGATCAACCTGGGCTTTGAGGCCTTCCTTTTGCCCTCCTGGCTGTATTCAACCTGTACCTCCAGTGGGTCTCCAAGGTGGCCTTTAGAAAGAGCCCCTCCTTCTCAGGGGAACGGAGCAAATGTGTGGGTCTAAAGTACAGCTAGCTAGTACCTCAAGCCAGGGTACATTTTGTTGTAATGGGACTTTTGACTAATCAGCTGGTTTGAAGGTTGCTACCAAGATGCCACTGCCATCTTGTTACAGAATGCAACTTACCACGTTACTATTGTGTTTGCTATTTCTCAGTTCTCCCTTTCTGTAGGATGGGAAATTCTATGCATCAGATCATATCAAACAAGTTGCTTCCTGGCCTTCCTTGCCAAGAGGTACAGGAAAGCAGTGGGTCAAGTGTAGCCAGGCAGCCCTGGTGAAAGGAAACAAAGCCTTGGGGAGAAGGAGGAGAGAAGCCACCCTTCTCGGTTCAAGCCAGCTGTTCCACTGTCTCCACCGCCTCCCTCTCTTTCTCCCGCCTATCTCATCTCCTGGGACTCAGCCAAGTCCACTGGAGAATTACGCTGCCGTATCTTGTGGAGAAGTATTTGCTTCCCCTTCCCTCCCTCCTGCTTCCAACGGAGACCCTCTTGCACTTCCAAAAAAGCAAAACCCGGACAAGTTCATAACTGTTTACACTGTCACGAAACCGAGAGGGGTCAGTTCTCAAAGGTTATTCTTAGTTCAGCTGCTGCATAAGCCACTGATGTCACTGAGGGAAGGCTGGGCTGCAGGACGGTGGAAGGGATAATTAACAGAGAGGAAACGCAGAAGACTGTTAGAAACATGGCCATCCCTATTTAGCATCTAAAACCGGGAGAAGAAGCATCACAAAAAGTACTTATTATCCACTTAGGCTGAGCCCCTCTGGCATCAGTTCTCCAAACTTGCAGCTGAGACTTCCCTTCCAGCATCTGGAAGGTGTGTTGGCGGAGACATGTTTCATCAAAACGTTTGACTTCCTTCAGAACAATTCAGATGTCTCAACCGGGGGGAGGGGGAATGCCGATGCTTCTTTGACTAGGAAGACTGCAGATTCACCCCACCATGAAAGCCAGCAACAGGTAATTATGTTGGCTGAAAACTGAAAAATGCTTTATTAATTCAGCCACGGACCTCACTGGAGAACTTCAGGAATGCATAAGGGCTGCATCCCATTCTCAAAAGAAAGCCACTATCTTGAAGTCTCCTTATTCAGGGCCAAAAGCATAAAAGGACTTCAAGAATTTGAGATCCTTTAAGATTTGAGATCCACAAGGAAGGATCTCGTATGGTTTTGTATGTTTGTGGCTTTTATATTATGCAACGTTCTATTTTCTTAGTAGTGTTGATTTTTAATGGTGCTTTATTGTGACATTATCAGTGAAGGACTCCTAAAACCAGTTTCACAAATCTTCAATTCTACTGCCAGGTATTTCTACTCGACCTAAACAAAACAAAACCAAATAAAGGTTTGTGTTGAAAAGTTTTGTTTGGCCAAGTAAATTCCATTTTCAGAAGGTCTGATGACAATTGTGTTGCCTGCTTTTATTTAATAAGATAAATTATCTTGTACATATCCTGAAAAATACCATAGGAAAGTCACTGCCACAAATCCCAACCATATTGGATCTAACGGCACTTGTATTTTACTCAATGAAACTTTGGTAGTTGACCAGCATAAAGTATATTTAAAAACATTTGTACAGCTATAAATAAATTACTAGAAGATGTAATTTTCTAGTTAGCCCTAGAATTGCCAAGAGCCGGACACAACTGAATGGATAACATCATCATCCATCAAATAAATCTGTAAGTGTAAACTTTGTAAATTAATGCAAATTGATTGATCTAACCTAATTTAAAATAACCAACCTTACCCAGTTTCAAGACAAGAAGCAATAGGTGGAAAGTAATCAAGGAGAGAAGCAACCTGGAACAAAGGAGAAACTTCCTAACAGTGAGGACAATTAACCAGCGGAACAGCTTGCCACCAGAAGTTGTGGGTGCTCCATCACTGGAGGCTTTTAAGAAGAGGCTGGACAGTTCATTTGTCTCAAATTGTATAGGGCCTCCTGCTTGTGCAGACAGTTGGACTAGAAGACCTCCAAGCTCCCTTCCAACTCTTGTTATTCTGTTATGTTCCATGAAATAAACATACATTACATTGAAAAGCCTAAGAAGATTAAAGAGGGACCATTAAAAAAAAAAACCTCTTACCTTTGTAAGAGAGTTTCAGTCTTGGAACATGGTGCTTTGATGTCCCCTCAGCAGAAAAGAGCAGAATCCCCCAAAATAGAAGTAGACATAGAAGTTGTGGCTTGGAAACGCTTGCCCTGTTCATGCCTTCACAATTATGCTTTCTCTTCATATTGCGGAAAACTTGTCTTTTCTTAGTTAATCCAACAGAGGTCTGTAAAGGGAAATAAAAGATCATCTTTTAGCAAACAGAGCTTGGAAAACACTTTAAAAGAAGTGTAAATTGTTTGATGGCTACGCATTATATTTTAAAAGCTCAAAATACTTAACTACGACCACAAATCAACGATACACCCACCACTTCACCAAGGATAAATAAATAAAAGCAGGGTTATGAGATAAATTGGTCATATTTGCACTAGTTATTGCCACATTTTCACAGACCCTGAAAAAGAAAGTTATAACCTGGTTCCAAAGTTCAGACGGCTGGAATATTAATCATCTCAGCATGCACTAACTCCCAAAATGAAGTTCAATTCCACATTGGACAATTCATAAAATATGTTAGTTGCCAGTTGACTGTTCTGGAACTACACAGTTCAACTGTACTGAAGAAATTGGGCACTTATGTTTTATGATGGTAAATGACAGATGCCTTCTATTGGCCAACACTTAATGTAAATTTGTAGATGCTACAAGTTCTTACGAAGTATAAAAGACTACTAATCACAGAGGAGGAGGTCTTGCGGATGTGCTAAATGCCTTTAAATGTGTGTGTGTTTGTGTACGTCCTCTGAAAAAAATATATCCTCTTCTTCTGAGGATATAAAATTTGGCAAAGGTTAAATTAGGAATCAAATCTTTGAATTTTGGGAAATATTTTTGCCTCCTTGCATTGCTGCAGTTATTTCCAGGGTAATTTCTCTGGAAAAGCCATGTCAGTTGAGGTGTATCTGAGCGAGAAATGTGTCCCATTTCAGAAGAACAGATACACAGGCCAGGGAATTGAGATAAATGGGAAACAGCTTAAGGAGTTTTGATTATTTTTCTGCTCAATTAGCATGGAAGACAGAGAAAGTGAGATATGATAGGGACTGGTGATGGATATAAAGCGTAGGGAGGTTGAAGGACCCTGAACATCTGGTATTTTCCAAGCAAGCTGTGACATCCTGCAGGCTTCATCAGGAATTCTTTTTTTTTCCAGATTCAGGCTTCTTGGAAGGAGAACTCATAAAGAGCTTTGAACCCTGGAACAGTCCTTCTCTCTAGATGTCCTTTCTCCATCTTCATGGAGCCAAAAGGATTGAAGAGTTTGTGCCCCCATAAACCTCCCTTCTCTCTCTCTCTCTCCCTCTCTCTCTCTCTCTCTCTCTCTTTTCCATCAGTTGGCACCTATGCCTCCCAGGAGGACAGTTTTACATACAATCTGGGATTCTCATGAAATCAGATCTCAGCTCTTCAGAAGCACAATCACTTTCAGATCCATTTAAGTACCTCCTTGGAGAAGTCCATGGACAGTAGGCCAGGATTAGCATCCCACCCCATCTTCAGCCCATTGTCAATCACTCACATACTCAGACATAGACTCAAAGAGGATTTTTGGGGGGCGGGTGGGTAAAGAGTGCTTCAAGTCAGACTTGATTCCTAATGACCCAACACATGGCATGAGATTTCAGTACTTTCCTCTGAGACCTTCCTTAGAGGTCAAGAAGATCCAAGTTCCTGAAGATTTCAGCCATCTCACACGACAGTTCATGACTTCTCATCCATGAAAAAACCTGAGGTGACACTTATTGGCACAGAGAGAGGAAAAACTGAACCCAAAAGAACCCACGTAGCACACCCTGAATTGGGCTACAAAACAAACCGTTTCCTCTCCCTGCCAGTGACTTGGGGTTACTGGAGAGAGGTGTATTTTCTGTGTGTTTCCTTTTGTCTATTTATTCCAAAACATCGTTCAGATGGAACACAACTACAAAGGGCCCCTTTATGCCTACGGCAGCTGGACAGCCGGCCAAGTCCACCCAATACGTTTGCTTCATTCATTCAGGCCTGGCAGAAGCAGAAAGGAGCTCTTGAGCATGGCCAGGTAGCCAACGCCTCATTTTATTCTTCATGACAGGGAATAAATGTTATTAAGGTTCTTTGGTAGGAACAACCTTTCTCCTCTCCAATTCAACTTTAAAAAGAGTGTCCGCAGGTGTATCACAACGTGATACCTTGTGTGTCCAATCACACTTGGCCACATCTCTCCTTTCCTCTCCTCTCCTCCATTCCATATTTTCCATTCCATTCACATATCTATGGGCATCGTTGTGGCCACATTTTTGTAACAGCATCCCATTTCATGAGATTTCAGTCTCCTCTCCCAAGACCTTGTGAGAGGCTTCAGGTGGCCACCCCCAGTTTCATAAGAGTCCATGCTTACCAAATTCTCATGAGATTTGACAATATTAAATGTTTTCATATATTTCCTTTTTATTGGGTTATTGGCATTTTTGCACCATGTTGCATAGGAGCTTTCTATTTTTTCAAAGAATCTGCCTTATAAAATGTCCCTTTCCTCCAGAGCCATGTCTGCAATCAACCATGGTTACATTGAACAAAATTCAACAATGTCTAGGAACAGTGGAAATTGGTAGTCCAACACATCTGGATGGTACTTGGTGGGGGGAGGGGAATAATAAAGGTTGTTTAGGTGTCCTTCTGCAACTTTATCAACTGATTAAATTGAGGGACCTAGTTTCCATGTAGAAAAGCACTGTGAGTATAATGTCCCCCTGTTACTCTCTCCTTTCCAAGTCAGGTAATTTACCTACATTGCCAAAAGCGCTTTCCCTTTTTCCCTATAATGTATCACCAAACAACCTGTGTGTAGTAGCCAGACTTACTTCAGAGGGTTCAGCCAGGACTCTGACTCCACAAGGCCCCGGCTGCCCTTCTTCCCCTGAGGGTCTGCTGCCTCATTCGGATGGAATTTATGATTTGCCAGGCGTGGCTCTTGAGCCTCTGCTGAGAAAACTTGGTGCCTTTTACCCTGAGACCTCAACTCCAAATATTTGGTGTAGCCCTGGATCTCGCATGAAGGTAAACTCTGCAGTCCAAATTCTCAGCGTTTGGAATGCCTGCCCTTCTCCTCCCCTCCCCTCTTCAGTTTGCAAATATCTGGAATTTGAACGTTTTGTCTTGACAACTTTCTGAAAAGGAAGCCCTGCACTTATTTAACAGTAGCCAGATGTCCCTGCATTACTCAGCTATAAGGCCTCCACCTTAATATGTCTGTTTCAGATTGCAGATTTACAGTAAACTGGCACTCCACATTTCCTAGGGTTTTTGTTTACCAGAATTGAACAGATCTTTCTTTCTAGTACAATTTACAATAACAGCCTGTTATAATGCCTTCATTAAACTTCTAAATCAAGAGCTGGAAAAAGGGTGCCCGAAAGGAATCATGTTCAAATAGCATACAGAATCCAAAGAATGTCATTTTCAAAATGCAGCTACCTTGTAAGCAAATGAACCAAATGTTTTGTTAGTGTAAATAATGTACAACTAAACCACCATAAAATATCACTGCAGAGCTTCTGTCCAAGGAAAACTTTTGAATAAAGTCGACAGAAAATTAAATACTTTGAAAACTTCAAAGTAATGCAAGCCAAACAATGTGTAGAAACGAGTAAATCTACAGGGTACATTTCATTCGTAGGTTAGTGCCTTCTATATAAGTCAGTTTTAATGCGCTTTGATTTCCAAATATTCATATAAAATGGTGGAAAGAAATCAATATTGGAAGCTGGAATACTTTATTCATGAATAAGTTACATTATGTCAAATGGAAAATTGTTTATTTCAAAGTTTGCAAACTGTGACATGTTATATAAATCAACATTCACCACAGTTGCAAAATTCAAACATGACAAGTTTGGAAAATAGAGGAACTACCCAAACAGAGATTTTCAAACTTTCCCATTCAAGAAACTCCTTCTACTTCACAATGTTGATGAGAAAATACCCCTGGCCTGCCCAGCAATTTTTTAATTTATAAAAAGTTCTGTACAATTCCCTAATCCAGTAGATTTTAGTCACCGATAAGCAGAGAACGAACCATTCCATTTTATGAGGGACTGCAGGGAAATTGTTCTCTTTATCTTATATGCCGAAGCCAGCTAGACTTCAACATTGCTCACAACACAAAACAGGCAATTTTTCAGTGTTGAGATCCTGTATTTTCTCAAAATCACTTAGATTGGAAGCTACAGGAAGCGAGACTATGGAAAAGTGACAACCTCAGAAGCTGACTTTGTTCCATGGTGTCTTGAAATTCAATGCTTACAAAAACTGATTGATTACAAAAGCTAATACTGTTTTTTTTTTTTCTTCTTCTTCTTGGCATCTGGTCCCAAAATTCAGGAGTTGGGAACATTCTCCAATCTTCCATTATTGGTTTGTTCAGCGTTGTTTATACATGAGTTGAGAGCAATGTAGAATGCATCTGTGTTCATGGGGAACATTTCCTAACTTGATTGGGAGGATAATCATTGGAGTGGGAAAGATGATGCTGAAAATCCATTAGATTTCGACCCTCTCTAAAGCTTCATTTGGAAGAAACCAGCTCCTACTCTAAGCCTAAACTGGTTTTAAGAGATCTAGATATAAAATGACATCTTATTTCCATGTTAGACTTGCCCTTTCTCTAATCAAAACTATTTTTAAAGATGCTTTATTTATTTTTCTGCAGGATTCTCATGTTCCATTTATTATGTTCTGTGGTGAGCACTGATGGTCACATTCAACTCCCTTGTGGCTGTTATTATTTGTGGTGATTGATTCAATAGCAGTGCAACATAATCATTTCACAAAGTGGACAGAAAATTCAGGTCTTATTTGGCAATTTTTTCTTATTAATTTTGGCTTGGCTATCATCTTCCAAACAGAAGACCGCAATTCTGGAAATGAGACAGCAAAGCAATTAGAACAGTTGAGGAAAGTTTCTGATTATAGTTTCAATAATCTGGTTGTTTTAGCGCAGAAAGAAAAAGATAAACGAGCTCATTACTGAGGTAGATAGAGGGTTTTTTTTAATGATAGACTCCACTTCCTCTTGGCTTCTAGAATACTAGAATTAATGCTGTCTTCTTAAACTGGTGTCCTCCCAGTTTGGATTCCATTTCCCAGAATTCCCAGTTAGCAATGCATCCATTCTGGTAGAGACTA